TTATCCATGGAAAGCGCGCCGCTCATGAACTGAAAGGTTGGCTTCAGCAGCTTCAACTGTCCTCACGCCGCCCAGGCTTTCAGTTGAAGAACGCTCACTTTAGAATTCACAGGGCGAGTCCGCGTGGCTAGGTTGAGGGCTTCACAGTCCCCAGCACAGAAAACCCTTCGCTGTTTGCATGATGCCATCACAAAAGCTTGCTCCAGGAGTTTAGAAAGCCCCAACAAACAACTTCACATCGTCATAGGAATACTAGGACTACAGCCGCCTCTAGAGCTTTGGAACAACCTCAAGAAACCGCCATCGCTTTTAGAAATGCCCTATCCACCGTGATCTGCCAGAGCCTTAGAAAGCCCTGCACAGACCACTGTTTGCCGCATTATAAATTCCCCGCCCACTGCATCTGCTAGAGCCCTAGAAAGCCCTGCACAGACCACTGTTCGTCGCGTTAGAAATGCCCGCTTACTGCATCTGCCAAGGTTGCAGAAAACTCTGAAGTATCGCCGTCAACGGCTCAAAAACATTAGCTCATTTCGAGCTTCTTCATTGCCTGCATCATTTTGGTCAAATGTCGCATACAATTATGACCGCACTGTCAACTATTCCGCTAGGAGAGATGTACAAATAGGGGCCATGGATAAAGTTTGCACTTTTTGCAACGCAAAAAAGTGGGCGGTGAGCAACCTGGGCTTTGTTGCTCTGGGGCAAAATCAAACTCCCTTCTTTAGACGAGCCTCCCAGCCACTTAGGGATCTCCTTCTGGGTACAACTGAGTCAATGCATTTTCTTGAAGCAATACGGAAGTATAACTGTTGCTTCCAGATGACATCTTTTGGTGTGAAGGCTATTAGTGAAGGGGGATGGATGCCTACTTTCAAAGTGCAAGGCCAGGTTTACCACTTAACAGGATCACTTTTGGCTGATCAGGGAGAGCCACCTCAGTTCCTACAAATTTACTTTCTCGCAGACTACAACGAGCAGGTTGATGCGCGTCTCTGCATTCTGCCTAGCGATATTTCCATCGGTCCCCGTAGAGACATTCTGTTCCGTCTACAAGACATGCTTCACGAAACTAACAGTTACATCCGAAGCTTAAAGTTTGCGTTGCAAAACAACTCTTTGCCCTCTTTCAGTGTTGTCATCGATGCAGACAGACGGCTTCACGGTGAGCATGAGCGTCGCTTCAATGCTCCTGTACGTAATGAAATTGCCGCAGTCATCCACGGTGAGGAGCATAACAGCCGTGACATTGTCATAAAATACTGGGGCGGTGGTCTGCGCCGCATCAGTGAAACCCACCGTTCATACAACTGTCTCCAGTACCCCCTTCTTTTTCCATACGGAAGCGATGGGTACCACTTCAAAATCCTAATATGCCAGGCAAGCAGCGATTCCATGTCGACCTCAAAGACAGTCTCCTGTAGGGCTTACTACGCCTACATGTTTATGGTTAGGGAGGGTGAATTTAACCACTTGCACAGGTGCCGTCAACTATATGCAGTCCGATTGCATGGCAATTTTTTTGTTTGTCATATTGGTTTTAACGTTAGGTCATCGTAGTCTCCACTTGCCATTACTAAGACGTCTTTGTAAAGGTTACCCAGCTCTTTTGCTGCCTTCTGACTTTCATACCATCACCCGCCATCATCGCGTTTGTTTTCCCTTCAATGCCTATGTATGTTGCAACTGAATCATGGTTTCAGGACTACTTACCACAAGTGCTTTCAGTAATGCTTAACGATCCAATAGGTTAAAGCAGTAACTGCTGCCAGCTTTTACTCATAGATGTCTTAGTAATGGCAAACAGCTTTCCGTTACTTCCTTCGGTACCTTCAAATACTTGGGCCTGCATGATGTCTGCCTAAACTTTGTGTGCATAGCGTTTCAACGTTTTGTAGAAACTTAGTTCCTGTCGACTTACAAAGCACATCTTTCAAAGCAACAGCCGTCCCCAACTCTTACTGTTACATCCCCGGGCAACGTATATATATATATATATATAAATAAAGAAACATGGAAGTTTTTATTCCATTTTCAAACTTTCCATAAAGTTCACTAGTTGAAAGTGTTTCAGTTCAAAATAAAATTTATTTTTAAACATTTTTAATTCATTCATTCATTTAATATTATAAATTATTAATATTTATAATCAAAACTAAATATAAACACAAAATGAATTCACATTGTTCTGCCAGGTTCTCTTTTAAGACAATTTTTATTAATTTTTTTAAATTTATAAAAAAATTGTCCTTGTGGCGAGGCAGTTAAATTACAACAATTATTTTTAATCCCTAAAATCATCTTTTAGCCTCGGTCATTTATTTTTGTTTACAAAGCATACTACATAAACAAAAATAAATCTTTTCATAAACTGCAACTTAAAAAAAGTAGACATTCTTTTGATGAAACTTTAATTTGTTTCTACAAAATGTATGCATTTAAAAAAAAAAAAAAAAAAATGCTTTTCACACAAAAGTTTGCTTTAAAAAACCTAAAATTTAATTACAGTCAAAAATTGTATTTAATTTTATTTTACTAATATTTTTCTTTGCTATAATTGAACTTTCCTGTGTTAAATTATTATGGAATTTAAAATATTTTGAACTTTTTTCTCATGTATTCCTATTTGGAGCCAAACAAGATGCAAGTTTTATAAGTAGAAGTGTAATCTGGTGTGATTAAGCTATAGTTTTTCCACTTTTAACACAATTTGTTTCAATACTTTTAAAATAAAACCAGTAAAATTTAATTTTTTAATAATCTAATAAAACAAAAAAAACCCGATCCTATGTAAAAGATTCTCATCCTTATGAAGATTTTAATCATTTTTAATCTTATTTTTATACTTTGTAATAGTTGAATCTCATACCTTATAAAATGATCAAGTTGGATATCAACATTATTTAGTTTTCAACATTATAATATTTAAAAAAAATTATTGTAAAGTTTACTAAAATTGCTTATATCTCTTTAAAAAAAATTCAAGGGATATGTTTTTAGTGTGTTGTTGCACTTTTACTCTTTTTTTCTTTTAACAAAAATAAAATACTTTTTGATTCTTTAGAAATTATTAAATTTTTTAGCTGTGAGAAATTTATTTTAGACAGTAACACTTATTTTTTTTTAGATTGAAGATCCTTTATTATTTATTTATTAAGTTGCTGTGATAATTCATATTTAATTCTTATTAAATGCCTGTAAGCAAAGTTAAAATTTGCATTTATTTTTTTTTTATGACTGTCCTTCCAGATAAGGTATAAAATTTTAAGGAGATTGCATAATATTTAGAGGGTACCTTTGCTTGTTAAAGGTTAAAAAGTGGACAACAAAAGACCCTTTTTTATTTTACAATTAATAGCAAACCATTATTAGTTGAATCTTTACAAATTATACACATTAAAAACTAGAAACATTTTTTTATTTAACAGTGAAAAATTTAAATTTTAACCAATGATATTTATTATTTTCAAACTCCAATTCTGGCAGGTGTATCCGATACCAAGCAGAAATGTGTACTTTCAAAGTTTTTTTTTTTTAAGATTTCTGATGATAACCAAAGTAAAGCAATATGTCAACTGTAGCTAGGTACTTAAGTGATTTACATAAAGAAATTGTTCTCTTTATTGCTTAGACTCTTACCCAATTTTTTAAATAAAAAGCATATCTAACTTTATTTCATAAGCTTTTGTATTCATTTTTCTACTAAATGTTCTATTAATAAATGTGCTTTGTTCATTAAGTTTCCCCAAACCAACTGCAGGGCCTGAAAATAATGAATTTTAATCATTGTAGGAACTGTATCAGAAATTTAGAACAGTATTGGGAATTGTATCAGAATTAATAAAAATATTGTTATCATCCTATTACTAAGTTGTAGCCTCTGTCTGTCTGTCTGCTTGTTATCATAGTTCTCCTAGGGTTTTGGAGAGAGACTCCCATAACTATATATTTTCTGAAACATTACCCAGGGTACTTATATCCTTTTTATCCAAGAGGTCCCAGGGGGCACAAATTCCCCACTGAAAATTTTTTTCCCCACCTTTGATTTAAATTAAATTTAAAGTTGAACAAGGAAATGACTCCTATCCAAAATATAAAAGGAGAAAGCCAGAAGATTGAGGTCGCAACAGCAAGATCATTGAGTAATATTGAAATGCATCATTTTTCTCCACAAATTATAACAATGATTTAAAATCAACCATCATTTTCTTAGAAAAGAAAATAAATGTCTGGCATGCCACAAGGCATGGGTAATTTGGCTTATATATCTCACACAACATAGCCTAGTTCTATGAAACTCAACAATGGTTTCTACCTAACCTGATGACGACTTAAAATCAAAAGCTTGTACTATATTTCTTGTACTTTTCTTCTGAAATGAACTTTGGACAATTTTAGATGAAATTTCCTCCTTGTCCGAGAAGGATTATTCATAATTTAGAAATGCCTGATGTTTATATATTTTATCCTTTACTGACAGGATGTATTGTGCATGAAACTCCAAGTCATGCTACCGGTGAGGTAGTATATGTTTATTAATATATATTTAATAGCTCTGTTGTATTACATAGAGCACTGTTTTATTAACACTAGCACTGTGTGTGTTATATAAGATTATAACCATGCAATATGGTAGAGGCACTTATTTTGATTTCTATGCATATGTGGTCCCATTCATTTCTACCGAAATCAAATGTAATAAAATGTCCATGTCATGTTTGACCAACCAGATCTGGTAAGTCTGATTTTTATTAGTGGTACAAAATTTAATGATACCAAAGATAACAGACACATTTTACATATGGAGTCAAAATCAAGAGAAAAAGTAGGAACTGACATTTAATACAGAAAAAAAATATTAATAGTTAACCAGATTTACTCCTCACTTCTCAAACTTGATGAAGATAATAAAATTACATACCAACTAAAGGGAAACAGAAAACCATTGCATTAATAATATACTAATAGTGAATATTTAAAGAAATGACATTAAGTCCTAGCAGCCATTCCATCTTTTTTCACAAAGGGAAGCTGCCTAGATTTAATGAAAATTGTCTGAAGCACTTTGGAGATTAAATTCCAACTGCAATCTACACAAAACATGTTCTCCCAGCATACAGACGTTTTTTTTTTCTTTTATCATCAAGTGCTCCACAATAGCTGACCCCTCCTGATAAATGCCAAAACATGCTGGGAAATTTGCCTCTCCAGAAGTTGATTTGCACTGACATTTAAAAGAATAGCAGAACTTGTTTTGAAGACTGTTCCTGCAAACATTTCTTGTGGATTAGAATGAAAAACAGTATTGCAAAATAGCAGTTCAGATTTGCATAGCAAAAAATCGCGCTAGTCTAACCAATTCAAGGCAGACTTATATGGACAGGACATTTTTCAGGCTCAAAACATTTAAGCCTACAAAATTGTGGAATTTTTGCATTTATACTTGTTTGCACAATGTCCAAAAGATCAGAGAATATCCAGAAAGGATAAGGAACAGTTGCTCTTCCGTTCAATATTCTATGAAAAAGTTCTGCCTCCAACTTATTGTTGAACACACACAACCTGTCATCTATATCTTATACATAACAGTTGGGTTGGTAGACAATAGAAAATAATTTTTGCTCATAGAATTCCACAAAATATATTTGCTATAGTGGGCCCCAAAGGGCTGCCCATAGCTATCCCATCAATTTGTCTACACATTATATTGTTGATGCTAAACTGCACGGACATGGTAAAAAACTTAATTAGCTTAACAAAATACAGAATACAGAACATCAACACATACCTGTAGTTTCCTGAAAAGGAACGCAAGTAAATAAATTGCTGATGTCAAACAAACACATGAACTTAAGAAGAGAAAGAACAATTTGGAATATAATTTACAAAATTAAAGAAGTCCTTAATACAATATTTTGAATACATGTCCTGGAATGGTTGTAACAATTTTGCCAATGATTTGCTAGGATGGGTCAGACCAGAATATTCACCTTATGGGTTTTAAGTAACCTGTATAACCAGGGTCACAACAACCCCAACAGCCTAACAAAAGGTGCATAAAGTTTTACAGTGTTCATTTTTTTTTTTTTTTTTTATTTATTTATTTTCCTTATATTGAAAGACACAAATATTTGAATAACCTATAAAATATCTTAGAGACACGGATTTAGTGAGATTCAACCACACAATCCCTGCTTTACAAGAGCAGTTCACTTAATGTTTCATTAATGTAAAATAGAGTAAACTGAAAAGGGGTTTCAAATATAAAAGTTGCCAAAACCCTAAGTAATGTTTACAGTCTTTCAATGCAAAGGTCAACTGAAAATAAAATGGTCAATTTGAAGAAATTCCATGAATTTTGCAATTCTAATTTCTGGTCTCAAAAAGAAAAGCTGCATTTTTGTAATTTGAACTGTACACTCATTTTAGAGTAGTTGTCTGCATTTTAACCTATAATTTTCTGTCTTTATATAGAGAAACAGTTTTGAACATCTGCTGACAGATAAGAGCAAGCAATGATTACAGCTGTGATATTTAGCTGAAAGCTTAAAGCTCTAACCCTAAAATTAAACCAGCATTAAAATAAATTACACATTACCAGACTTGGGTTGCCAGACTGGGCAGCATTTGAAAGACCAGCATTATTAAATTTTTAATTTTGCCACTTCTAACAAAATAAGCCAGATTAATTTTCACAATGAATAAGTAAATTTTAAATTTATTAACACTAGGCCTTCAAATATAATCCAAAATGGCAACCCTGGCTTAATTCTTTCAGCTAATAGAATATTTCCAGATTAAGACACAATCCTTAAAAGAAAGAATGAAGAAAAGAACTGACCATTTTGTGCATCACAAGACGTGACATCTTTCTCAAGAGTTAATTTTTTCTGGGCACATCGGAACATTGCTTCTTCCACTGTGTCTTTGCTCAACAAACGGATAATTTTGACAGTCCTATTAAAAATAAATAAATAAAAAGGAAAGGCACAACAATTATGACAGGTAAGTAAACAATGATAAACATTATGAAAAAGATAAGAAAAGAAAAAAAAATATTCCCAATTTTTGCTAACCACTTGAGAAAGGCTGATATTGCACAAATTTTGGTGTTTTTTGCCTTTCTTGCTCTGATAGTGAATTGAATAATGAAAGCAATGAGTGTTCTTGAATGGCTGACCACATATTATTTAATTATTTTAATCTAATATAATTTAAACAGGAATCTATACAAATCCATCAAGAAGTACAAATTATCCTTTTTTTAATTAATAAACATTACAAAGAATATTCGGCACAAGAGTCTTGAAGGAAAAAAAAACATTCAAGTGTGCAAATGTAAACTTGAAATTATTGCAAGATAATTTTGGCACAACCAAATATAATTTATTCTTATTAATTACTACATTATTTCAGGCAATTAACCTTTTTATGTGGATATTAATTTCCTTTGTGCATGTGCAAACACTGCTTAGAGGAAAGTATATATCAAGAGGATTCTACAACTGAGGGGATATATATGTGTGTGGGATGTAGAAATAGTATATAGACAAAGTGAAAAAGCTTATAAACAACAGGTTTCGCCAATGAGTGTTGATGACTTCTTCAGGTCAGAATAAGTCAAAACTGTGAACTGTGTATAAGGAAAATGTGTCAGGATCTTTGAGGATAAGAGGGGCAATAAATGTAAATTACTTCATCAGATCCGTCGACCAGAAAATATTTGTATATATATATATATATATATATTACATGAATCATTCATACAAAAAAAACAGATATAGAAGTTAATGATATAAATGGCGAGAATACATCTTCGCAAACAAATTTAATAAAGTACATTAACCCTGAACCTGTAGATGAATATTATGATCCTTGTTTATAAAGTTGCATAAGGTCTTTTTTTAATTTATTTTTTTTACAAGCTTTCATCTGTGCATACAGACATCATCAGGCATGGAAATAGATTTGTTTTTGTTTTTTTACATCTATTTTTTTCGTTGTCCTGTTATTACCAGGGTCATAACATTCACCTACAGGTTCGGAATTAATGTAATTTATTAAATTTGTTTGTGAAGATATATTCTCGCCATTTATATCATTAACTTCTATATCTGTTTTTTGTATGAATGATTCATGTAATGTAAATTCAACTGCACCACATACTTGATATTATATATATATATATATATATATATATATATATACACACACTCTCACTCGACTCCTGTTGAATTCGACGTATGAGGGTCAAGCAGGTCAGTTCCAAGGAAACTGACAGCCCGACAACAGCACATGAGATTTGATTATAGTGGTGATGGACCATCCACACTTTTTTGACGGGCCAAATACAGAGACCTGGTGCACTACGTGCAACAAGGTCCCCAAAGGGCCCTCTGCAGGTTTTGAATACAGAGTTGTCCTTCTTTGAGACCATTTGCCATCCAAGGCTATAGAACCCACTCTGTCCTGCTATTTACCCATAGCTGGAGGGAGAAGAAAAGGATTCACACCTTTCCCAAGGGTATTAGCACATAAGTAAATGTAACTGGATTCGACTGGAATTCGAACTCGGCTCTCTGATTCCTCAATCCAAGATGCTATCCATTACCCCACCGTGTGTGTGTGTGTGTGTATATACCGTTGGTGTGTGTTGGATCTTAAATCAGCCTATTCAGCGTAGATCCAGTTTTTTTTTTTTTTTTTCCTCACCTGGCTTGTATAACACATTGTGCTATTATTGCTTTTGTAATATTATACAAGGTCCTGGTCTTAAGTTTATTGTCAAGAATTGTGAGATTAGTGCACTTTCAATACATTTTATCCTTAGTGAATCCTTTTCTCTCTTGATCAGGCTGGCATTTATTGAATCAAAATTGTAGTCAAATGTACTATGGTAAAATACCATTGTGATGCTCATATAGTCTTTTTTTGTTCTGAGGTTTCTGGATGTTTCACCTATGTACACCATTGAGCATTTTGTACAATCTATTCTGTATATTCCTTCATCTGCCCTGTTGCTACTATCTATATTTCTTAATGTTTTAAACGTAGTATTGATGAATTTTGGCTTAAAGTTATTTTTGATAGTAGCTGTTATGGATTTGCTAGGTACAAAGCTTTTCCACTTTGTCTCATTATATATAGTAAAATATATAAAAGATACTTATATTTCACATATTGTATTTTTGTATATTGCTCTGTATACTGTTTTGTTAACAACTTTTTATTACTTGTTATATAAAACAAGATGTGAATGGATGGAGTTCTTTTAGAAGTATATTGGAAGCCAATAAATTGGCCAGAACAAAAGGGGCAAGAAACTGGCCAGAGCGAAAAGAGTGTGGAAGTCGATTTCAGAATTATATAAAAATTCCATAGATCTAAGTACTGTCACTAAAAAGTCATTTTTTGTACACTGACTGGCTCCAAATATTTGGATTTTTGTATTCATATGTATTAACCAATCAGTGATTGTCATATGAGATACACCATCTTCTTTGAAATTGCAGACAATGAAAATTTCTTAGAATTAAATTTTGGAGACTCACTTCAAAATATAATCAACGATATTTTCCTTAAAAGGGATATTTAAAAATTGGGAAAATATTTATTAACCAATAAAGTTGAGATTAATAAATCCAATTTTTGGTTTTCTCCAGAGATGATTATTTTATTATATGATCAATTCTTGTTCGCTAGTAGTCTTTCAGTTAACCTTTTGTTATACCGGAACATACCTATTCTATTGTTAATAGACTCTCCCACATATAATAAGTAGTAGTAGTAGCAGTCGCCAGGGAGCTCAGAGTGGGTTGGTGAGTCAGTCGATGTCGGACATTAAAGTATCAACCACCACAACTAGATTGCTGCGTCATTAACTATTATTTCAAGTTCCTAACGTTTTGTATGTTGAACCCTTTTAGGATCGACTTAGTGAAATACAAGCCTCCACTGGGAAACTACTCTACAACACCTTTGACCAGGGGTATTCATACATTTGTTACACAAACTAAACTGAAATTCTCACATTTAATTACTCACATTTTTCACATACTTATTTGAGTATATAACAGTACAAATAAAATGCTTAGCGATAGTGACACATAAAAGGAAAACATGCAGACTAAGTTTGTTTACGAGCATCAACAGTTTCCCCTGTATATCTCATGCAGTTGACTGCTCTAAATTTATACACAGATAAAACAACATCATATACATCCACACATATGTAAACACAATTCATTTGGTTATACTGTATAAAAAAAAAATTTAAGAAATACACAAAATATTTTATGCAAAGTTGTTCATAAAGAATCTTTGTAATTCATTTCTTTCAATTTGAAAGAAAAAATAATACACAAATAAAAATTATTGAAATTTGTAGATCCATGTTTGAAGATTTTTACTTTATACTTTGTTCAAATATACAGAAACCCCTACAGGAGCAATAAACTGTCTAGAGAGAAAGGAGTAAAAGTAAAAATAAATTGGCTCAACAGAAAATCATTTTCAATAAAAACTGGCCTTGTATAAATTGGTAACTAATACAAGTGTTATTAGACCGAGAATTTTGATTCTCAAAATCTAATAACACTTGTATTAGTTATCGATGCATGCATGCATGCAAAAAAAAAAAAAAGAAATGGTGGTAACTTACTTTGTCTGTCCCATTCTGTGGCACCGGTCTTCAGCTTGTTTGTCATTGTATGGATTAAAGTCAATGTCATGAATGATGACAACATTGGCAGACGTCAGATTAATACCCAAGCCTCCTGCTCGTGTTGACAGCAGGAAAATGAAGATTCCAGCATCATCGTTGAAATTATTGATTAAACCTTGCCTAAAATTAAGAAAATAATTCATTTTAGGAGATATGGGAAAAGATGAAAAATTGTCAGAACTGTGAATCCTTCCCACCCACTTAATATATTCTGGATCCAAAAGTCTAACAATGTTAAAGACAAATAAAGACAACACTGAAAGGCTATTTGTGACAGGTGATTTTTTTTTCATTGACTAAGTGATGGTATTTAACCTTTAGCACTCTATAGGTGGCTATTTACTCCAAGCAAAATTTTAGTCCTGCCAATGCAAGTTGAATTTGAATTTATTAGTTGTGGAGTCATATCCTTCTATGGCAACACCTAAAACAAACTTGACTGAAATTGTGAGCCAGGATACTGTTATTTCAAATATATAGAACTAATATATAAAACACTGTATTTTGAGAGGATTCTATATATAGTAAAAGGTGAACTAATATTTATAAATAATGCAGAGTGCTAAATGCTTAAAAGAAAATTAAATCCTTTTTTTTCCTAGGCAGGTAGGTTCTCTTTGTATTTGATCATAATCTTTAACCTTACACTATTTTAAATTAGTAAATATCAATAATCTATGAAAATAGCTTAGAGAGCCTGACACAGATGTCCAAACTTTATACAAAATGAGTTATAAATTGTGTTTACAGAATTTATTCCTTGCATTGTAAATTATCAAAAGTTTAAATAATAAATGGGTCCTGAATATTAAAGTCTCAAATTGAAGAATATTAACCATTATTCCCTTTTGATATTTCTTTCACATTCACTTTTATTGTGCTTCCTCACAAATGCTCCAAACTGTCAGTCTATGGCACCAATTACACAATGCAGATTGGAAATAAAGAACAAGTTTTTGGTGAGGCTAGAACTCATCTTCAGGAAGCCTGTTTCTACCCCACCTCCAATGAGTTGTTTTACCAGTTGAGCTATATGACTTTTAAAGATGGCAGATCAAATCTCAGCTTTTAAATTCAATCTTCATTTTCTCCTGTTTGGTACCATATTTGTTATTGTGTTTATATATAGTAATAATGTTATCAGTATTATCTTGAATTGTCTTTTATTAGATGAAGCATTACAGACCATTATTAATTCTTGACTAGGATTTCTTAATTTTTTTTTTTTTTACTTTTCATTATGACTATTAGTAAATACTAAAGAATATGACATTAAAAATATTTCAACCAATTATGTTCTTCAGCCTTTTGTCAAGTGTGCATTTCGTCCTTACTGGCCAATATTTTCAAAGAACAGAACCCTAATCTGAATAATTCATGGATAGTTTCATCTAAGAATTTCGGATATTAACAAATTTATTTTTGGTAATCTTGGTAAGAAAAAATAAAAACACACATTAATTTCAACAGATTTGTTTGTATAAAAATGTACAAACTTCTTATTCTTTTCAACTTACCGTTCATGTACTGGCGTTTGTCCATCCAATCGTAAATATTTTATATCTTCTTTAATCTTAAGATATTCTTCAATAATGTCCAACATCATAGTGAATTGGCTAAAAATAAGCACTCTATCACCCTAAAAGAAAAAGAAAACAATTATTGGAATTTTTATTATAGACAAATTAAATGAAACAATTAACAAAAGCTGACTGGACAATCTTCTTTCAGTAAGTAGGCTACATGAGGCACTGTGCCCGCCACATAAGGCACTGTATCCATCTTGGTCATTAGTATCATGACTTATAAGGCAAAGAAAGGTGAACCTATTCATAAAAAAAAAAAGGTCATCTTTGAGAATGCAAAACTTCTCTGGACAGATAAACAGCAGCTATTTGCAATCCTCTCAAGTAAGAATTGTTGCTTGATTGAACCCAAGAAATCTACTGCCATACATAAAATAATTACCATATTTGGTAGAATATAAGACTCCCTCCTATTCTCCCTCCATATCATAAATTGGTTCAAAATATCTCTCCTGGATCTTTCATGCAAACTTGAAGGATCAGGTAAGCTAATGTCTACCCAGTACCTAGCCTAACTTAATAATACTACATGTAATTCAGTGGTGATCCTATATACTATCAAGAAAACTCTAAACAACTCAATATCAATTAATTGTTAATTGACAGCCCATTGAGTAATTGAGTTTTGAAGTTAATGACAGTAAAAATCTAACAGCAGCAATTGGTTAAAAATGAACAGTCAAAGGAATTAAAACTATATATATATATATAGTTTTTGAGATTTTTTTTTTTACACTCATTCTTCTAAAAGGTTTTTGTTGTCCAATTCTCTAATTATTAGGTAATATATTTAAACTATATAGCAACACGAGTGGTTAGAACATTTGCATTTTGACCAGGAGACCTGGGTTTGAATCTCACCATGGTTCATTTGTCAGGAAGAAGACTTCCTGATGTTATCAGACTGGAGGGAGTGATCCCAGCATGTGGCACCTTTGGAAAGGTGCCTGAAAACAATACCACGGGTTGACCCAAGCCTTGTGATTGAAATTGGGTAAATGGAATCCTTGGAGGTCATCAATAGTTGTACTAGGACAAAGTCACAAGTCATTGTGGCCGAGAGCTTGAGAGTGCTGGTCTTGTTCAAATTGTTGATCACGCTAGATAACACGCCCTTTCCCAGAAACTGTAACTAAGATCTACTCAGCATAGTTGCAGTATAAACCACAGGTCGGTTCTGTGGATGTTGAATAAATGCAAATGCACCTGAGCAAGCATCTGCAATAGGGATTGGCTAGCAATGCAGATGTGTATCCTCAAATATGAGTGGCCAGCTAAGCTATATCAACAAAACAAAAGTTAATTTCTCAGCTTAACAGTTAAGAAAATGTCTAATAATTTTCATAAATTTCAGTAAAAACAAATCAAGACATTAAAAGTAAAGCAGCTTACGTTTTCCTTGAATTCTGGTAGCAACTCATCAAATTTACGGAATTTTCCAGAATCCAAAATCAAAGAAGAATTCAAAGCATATTTGCCAAGGTATTTCTTGAAGAAGAAAAAAAAAATCATTCAAAAATTAAATATGAAATATTTATCAAAATAAAAACTTATAAAAATAAACACACCTGCAATACTTATAGAAATGCCATCAAATAAAAATCTTTTTTTAAAAAACAAAATTCAAAATTAATAAAATAAAAAGAATAATTCCCAAAATAAAATTAATTTTTATATTTCTATTAAACTATATTTCAAAGGATAACAAAAATAAATGTTCACAAAGTCATCAAAATCTGAGTGATGATTCTGAGGGAAAAGTTCTAATATATTCCTTTGTTGAGGGACTTTAGTCTCCTTTTGTTAAATGGATGCCTAGTGAATAGTAAAAAGACAATTAAAGTAAATAGTCTTTAAAACAATTTCATTCTTAAATGGAAAAAAGTTTAAAATTTTAATCATATTTTCCTAGTGAAAAGCCTGGGACAAACCAAGATGTAGGATTTTGTATAATCCAAGCATTCCTCCATTTGCAGGATCTTGGGATATGAAAGATATCAACAGCAGATAACAACGTATTGTTATATATGCAGGCAGTGGTTTAATCTTTTCACAAATATTAAGCAACGTAAAAGATACCCTAATTAAACTAAGGAATTATTTTTAGTTATGCTAAATCTCAACATACATTTAATTTGAAGAATTTTTTTTTTTTGTAATAGTTCAACTTCTTGAACAGTCAATACTGCAATAATAAAAACATGAAGCCTGTCTCATGGCTTAGATAGATACACACTTCCCCTAGTGATAACAGCGGTTGATATTTAAGCCCATATAAAAGCAAGAGTTACAAAGCAAGCAAAAGTTGTTATCTCCCTTAAGAAGGTAGAGGCATTCCAAACCCTTTATTTCTTTCCTCTTTGTAGCAGGCTGAACTAGGCTTAGTAAATATTGACAAGGGAGACAATCAGCATTTTGAATAGGATCAGAAATAGTAATAAAAATGAATTGGACATTTCACGGAAACTGACTACAGTATATTCAACTTTTGACAGAAGGCGCTAAATTTTCAGGCCTAATTAATTGATAAAATCAAGATGGTAATAAAAATTCCTTCTAACCTAATTTTTGTAAAGGCAAGAAAAAAAATTCCTTCAGCAGCATTTAACTTTGAAATCAATCCCAAACTGCCAAGTTAATGCATTTGATTACAAAAATCTACATTACCAAGACTAAGAAACCTGACCAACACTTGTCTCTACAAAAAATAACATCCAATCAAACTCACTCGATATAAAAGGCAAAGTTTATGCAACTCAAAGTCTGACATCACTTCCATGTCTTGATAAATGATTGCTGGCTGAGCATTTCTATCTCGATGGGACGGTTCCTACAAATGGAAAAGGCAGACAACTTATAAAAACTGAAAAATAAAAAGCAAACAGATTTCTTTGAAAATTTTTAAAAACCCAATTCCATGAAGGAAATTATATTTTTTTTTCTTTCAGATTCAAATCATCAACTTAAATAGAAAATATGTTCATACTAATTTAAAATAGGATTCCTGCAATTCTTTTTTTTTTTTTCCATATTTAGAGATAGAATAAGAGATAGAATAAGAGATAGAATAAGAGATAGAATAAGAGATAGAATAAGAGATAGAATAAGAGATAGAATAAGAGATAGAATAAATAGATAGAATAAGAGATAGAATAAGAGATAGAATAAGAGATAGAATAAGAGATAGAATAAGAGATAGAATAAGAGATAGAATAAGAGATAGAATAAGAGATAGAATAAGAGATAGAATAAGAGATAGAATAAGAGATAGAATAAGAGATAGAATAAGAGATAGAATAAGAGATAGAATAAGAGATAGAATAAGAGATAGAATAAGAGATAGAATAAGAGATAGAATAAGAGATAGAATAAGAGATAGAATAAGAGATAGAATAAGAGATAGAATAAGAGATAGAATAAGAGATAGAATAAGAGATAGAATAAGAGATAGAATAAGAGATAGAATAAGAGATAGAATAATAGAGATAGAATAAGAGATAGAATAAGAGATAGAATAAGAGATAGAATAAGAGATAGAATAAGAGATAGAATAAGAGATAGAATAAGAGATAGAATAAGAGATAGAATAAGAGATAGAATAAGAGATAGAATAAGAGATAGAATAAGAGATAGAATAAGAGATAGAATAAGAGATAGAATAAGAGATAGAATAAGAGATAGAATAAGAGATAGAATAAGAGATAGAATAAGAGATAGAATAAGAGATAGAATAAGAGATAGAATAAGAGATAGAATAAGAGATAGAATAAGAGATAGAATAAGAGATAGAATAAGAGATAGAATAAGAGATAGAATAAGGATAGAATAAGAGATAGAATAAGAGATAGAATAAGAGATAGAATAAGAGATAGAATAAGAGATAGATAGAGATAGAATAAGAGATAGAATAAGAGATAGAATAAGAGATAGAATAAGAGATAGAATAAGAATAGAATAAGAGATAGAATAAGAGATAGAATAAGAGATAGAATAAGAGATAGAATAAGAGATAGAATAAGAGATAGAATAAGAGATAGAATAAGAGATAGAATAAGAGATAGAATAAGAGATAGAATAAGAGATAGAATAAGAGATAGAATAAGAGATAGAATAAGAGATAGAATAAGAGATAGAATAAGAGATAGAATAAGAGATAGAATAAGAGATAGAATAAGAGATAGAATAAGAGATAGAATAAGAGATAGAATAAGAGATAGAATAAGAGATAGAATAAGAGATAGAATAAGAGATAGAATAAGAGATAGAATAAGAGATAGAATAAAGAGATAGAATAAGAGATAGAATAAGAGATAGAATAAGAGATAGAATAAGAGATAGAATAAGAGATAGAATAAGAGATAGAATAAGAGATAGAATAAGAGATAGAATAAGAGATAGAATAGAATAAATAAGAGATAGAATAAGAGATAGAATAAGAGATAGAATAAGAGATAGAATAAGAGATAGAATAAGAGATAGAATAAGAGATAGAATAAGAGATAGAATAAGAGATAGAATAAGAGATAGAATAAGAATAAGAGATAGAATAAGAGATAGAATAAGAGATAGAATAAGAGATAGAATAAGAGATAGAATAAGAGATAGAATAAGAGATAGAATAAGAGATAGAATAAGAGATAGAATAAGAGATAGAATAAGAGATAGAATAAGAGATAGAATAAGAGATAGAATAAGATAGAATAAGAGATAGAAGATAAGAGATAGAATAAGAGATAGAATAAGAGATAGAATAAGAGATAGAATAAGAGATAGAATAAGAGATAGAATAAGAGATAGAATAAGAGATAGAATAAGAGATAGAATAAGAGATAGAATAAGAGATAGAATAAGAGATAGAATAAGAGATAGAATAAGAGATAGAATAAGAGATAGAATAAGAGATAGAATAAGAGATAGAATAAGAGATAGAATAAGAGATAGAATAAGAGATAGAATAAGAGATAGAATAAGAGATAGAATAAGAGATAGAATAAGAGATAGAATAAGAGATAGAATAAGAGATAGAATAAGAGATAGAATAAGAGATAGAATAAGAGATAGAATAAGAGATAGAATAAGAGATAGAATAAGAGATAGAAGAAGAAGATAGAATAAGAGATAGAATAAGAGATAGAATAAGAGATAGAATAAGATAGAATAAGAGATAGAATAAGAGATAGAATAAGAGATAGAATAAGAGATAGAATAAGAGATAGAATAAGAGATAGAATAAGAGATAGAATAAGAGATAGAATAAGAGATAGAATAAGATAGAATAAGAGATAGAATAAGATAGAATAAGAGATAGAATAAGAGATAGAATAAGAGATAGAATAAGAGATAGAATAAGAGATAGAATAAGAGATAGAATAAGAGATAGAATAAGAGATAGAATAAGAGATAGAATAAGATAGAATAAGAGATAGAATAAGAGAGAATAAGAGATAGAATAAGAGATAGAATAAGAGATAGAATAAGAGATAGAATAAGAGATAGAATAAGAGATAGAATAAGAGATAGAATAAGAGATAGAATAAGAGATAGAATAAGAGATAGAATAAGAGATAGAATAAGAGATAGAATAAGAGATAGAATAAGAGATAGAATAAGAGATAGAATAAGAGATAGAATAAGAGATAGAATAAGAGATAGAATAAGAAGAATAAGAGATAGAATAAGAGATAGAATAAGAGATAGAATAAGAGATAGAATAAGAGATAGAATAAGAGATAGAATAAGAGATAGAATAAGAGATAGAATAAGAGATAGAATAAGAGATAGAATAAGAGATAGAATAAGAGATAGAATAAGAGATAGAATAAGAGATAGAATAAGAGATAGAATAAGAGATAGAATAAGAGATAGAATAAGTAAATTCAAATAATTAAATACAATGTTTTTCAAGCATATTCATTATTCTGTATCTCATACAAGATAATGAAATAAAAATGTTTCAATTAAAAATAATTTTAAAAATGAAAATAATTTATTTAATTTACAATATTACTTTAAATAAAAAATAATAATAATAATAATAATAATAATAATAATAAATGGTTCTGGTAAAGTGTAATGCTTTTGATGATGATATGAAATATCTTAATAAAATGGATTGTTAATTTCTTTTAATAATGGGAGTGGGGAGAAAAAAATATTTAAAACATATAAAAAGAGAAATCCATATTGATAATCTCAATCTTTTAAAAAAAATGTAAATTATTTATTGTATAAATGTTGTACAATATAAGATTGAGGTGAACTTCATGTTTCCAAAGAAAGAACTCACTTTGGAAATGTCCTTAGACATGGAACGTAACAGGCTATCATTGAAATGCCGCCTTTGCAGTAACGGGTGGTTAGCTGTTTTGCGAAGCTGCATCAACATACATTGGCGCGTGTTAGTTTCTTGGTCGTTATCTTCCACAGCCTCAGTAAATCGGTTAATCAAATTCTCATATTGCTCTTGTTGGTCAGGAATCATCTGGCAATAAATAACTTCTTCCTGTTTCTTTGGCATCTGCTGCAGTACCTGAAAACAAAGCACACCAGTTTTATTGTTCTTTTCTTTCATCCACATGGAGCTTTCAATTTTAATCTATTCAGAAGAAAGGATACAATCCTGTTCAGAAGATGATTTTATATAATTTCAATGACGATTCAGTAGGAATTTCCACTTATCTACAGACAGGTATGACTTTGAACCTTTGCTAATGTGTGAGCAATAAAATAATTTAGGATGGATGATCTGAGTTCTTTTCTAATTGACCAAAGAACTATAGCAAAACAATTCTTTTTAAATATTTGTAAAAAGAAATTTAACTGTCTATATCTCTGAGACGAGGTATTATGATTACTTACATTATTCGGACTGTTATCCTCATCTTCATTGCCATATTCACAATGTTTCGGCCATTGTACACTCTGGCCTTTATGTCTATGTCTCTCTATATATCTGTCTATATCTCTGAGATGAGGTATTATGATTACTTATATTATTTACATTATTAGAACTTATCCTCATCTTCATTACCATATTCACAACATTTCAGCCGTTGAACAGTCCAGCTTTCTTCAAGTGATTGGAATTTCGAACCAAACCCTCAAGAACACATGACTGAAACGTGAATATGGCAATGAAGATGAGGATAACAGTCTGAATAGTGTAAATAATGTAAGGAAATTTAACTGGGGAGTTTTAAACATAAATTTGACAAAATCTACTAATGACAAGATAAGCTGACCAACAAAAAGTAAAAGCTTTGATATTAAATACAGAAAAACCAAAAGTTTCAAATCCATAGAGAAGAATTAATCACGTACTTAAAGACAAAGAAAGAAAAAAAAACCAAAATCAGTCAAACTGAAACCATAAGGCAGAAAATTGAATGATTTTGTGACAAAAGGTTTGAAAAGGTGGGTTGTTAGTTTGGGATGTAATAACATTCATGAGCAGAGCAATTCCAATTGATAAGATTTAAAAGAAAGTTTATGTCCCCTGTTTCTCACCTGGGATTTCAGTCGTCGTAAAATAAAAGGACGCATAATCTTTTTGGCGTGGTTGATTCGTTCCATTTCATAATTGCTACGTTTGTCATCATGAGATTTCTGGAAAAAAAAAAAAATAAATAAATAAATATTTTACTATCAATGATAATTCATGGATAAAATCAAACAGGCAAAGTAAGAAAATGGAGGATCTTATGATTATAGCTTCGTTTAATAGCATCTCCTGCAGAAAATTTTCATTTCTAACTTAAACCAACTTGAACAAAAGGTCAAATCAGCTATGTTTAACCTACGTACCCACAAAAAAAAATTGTAGCTCAAAAGACACTGCTATACTCTGTACTCGCTCGGCAAATTTTACTGGTTTTAAAAAAGTTATTTTTAGAATTTTAATAAAACCCAAACATACGAAAGTGGATTTATAGTTTTATTTTTCTCAAACATTGACAAAAGTATTAAACACTATTCTTGTAAATAAACATTCAAATAAATAAATAATTACTATTTAACTGTTTTCTGTTTTCTGTTGTCAATTCTCAAGAAAAAATGTTTAAATCCAGATGCTCACAAATTATTTTATTGAATTAATAAGGCAAGAGAAAAGAAATAACGAGGAAAAATACATTTTATAAAATTTTTAATTACAGTTGCTTGGAGAAGTCTTTATTTAAATTTTCTTGCTCACATTTTTATAAATTTATGAATAAGAAATAAAAAATTGTTTTCATAGTTATTTTTTTTTGGTATAATATGGTAAATAAATGTTTCATTGTAGTTGCTTCACATAATTTTATAAACTTATATATAAAATTATTCTTAAAAATAAGCAATCAGTAAAATCAAATGTTTAATACTTTTGTTTTCAATTCTCGAGAAAAAGAAAAAGAGAATGTACAAATCCACTTTCATATGTTTAGGTTTTATTAAAATTCTAAAAATAACTTTTTAAACAATAAAAATTGCTGAGGGAGTACAGAGTAATAGCAGCATCAAAAGAAAACTTGTCCTTTTGGAACACAATTCTTTTGTAGTGACTAATGTTAAATATTGGCATAAAATCCATAAAGGATCAACCTAACAATGGCATGCAAGCCTGACAAATTTGCAAACTCCACTAATTAATTCATTAATAAAGTTTAAATTATTGTCAACTATTGAATGTCAGAGGTATACAAAAACAATTTAACCAAGTAGTAATATTTTTTTTTAGTTTTTAAAGGTTTGCTGTATTTATGGGGGGAAAAGTACGGAATATCAGGACAGAGCATATGTAAATATAAACAACCATGAGAGACAACTCAGACTGGTGAAACAATAGGTCATTTGAATTTCATGGTTGTGCTATCATGTCCTGCTATGACAACAATAAAATTTTGATTAAAATCAAGAACTAGTTTACAGCAGTTGACAAGGCTGTCATATATAATGGAAAGGGAAGTAACACTTGCAATGAATAATGCAGAATGGTAAAAGGTTATTCTTTATTACTGGAAAACTTTATCTAAAATAGATTAATTAGAATTGAGGTTTTCTTTCAAATAGTAAAAAGGTTTTTTCCATAAACATGATAGTATAATATTCTATTTTGTTGTAGTTTATGTACAACACCCTTTTTCACAAACAAAAGTCATTTTTGTATGGACATTTTCCATGTATTTGAGTTTCCTATGTTTAAAATTAATTTATATTCCAAAATTGCTAAAGTAAGATAACAATCTATTTTTCTAATAACTGACAAATCAAAAAGAAAATAAATTTTCACCAGTGCAGAGTAGACAGAAACAAAAATCAAATAGAGGTAAGATTTTTGTTTTATTTTCAAATTGGTGTAAATTAAAAAACAAAAAACTTTTTAATGTACTTTCAAGCAAGACAGATACTCCCCTATTGAGAAATTGATGCAGCACAATCTTTATTCTGTCAAAATAAGCTAACCTTAGTAGTAAATATCTATAAAGAAATAATTTGGTGATACTAGACAGATAATAAAAGCAGGCTTAAATTTTTTGTAAACTAAAATAGGATTGTTCACATGTTAATAATGAATTCAAATGTTTAGTATTGGATTAAGATTTTGTGAGCTTAGTAATATTTTGAAAAGGAGGAAAAAGGTTAACTTTTTTTTTTTCTTTTCTTTATACACACACACACACACACACACACATACATACATACATACACTGTTAAAGTTTTCCATAATTTCTTGGAAATCATTTAAAAAAAATATTAGTAAATTATGTTATCTTGGTTTTCAGTTGCCACAAGAGCAACTGTAACTGTTATTTTTCTGTCATTGTTGACCCGCTTCAAAGATGTCAGAACAGAACCTACAACAGGCATGCCACATGTGACACACCAAGCAATTTCAAGATGTCAGAACAGAACCTACAACAGGCATGCCACATGTGACACACCAAGCAATTTCCACACAGCCACCAATAACATCACAAATTCCAAACCAATAACTACTACAAGGCGAAGAAGATATTTAGCCGTTTCAATTTTAATATCTACCTAAGTATATATACTATATAAAATATATTGTAGAACAGGTATATTGACTGACTTGTATGCTCTTGACACACTGAATGATTTTAAAATCATAAGTTAGCACATAGCAAAAGGTTGCCAACTCCTGCCTTAGTCATCATAAGTTAGGGAATGAAAAAGTTAATCCATCATTTGCTATTCTTTTCAACATAACAAGTTTCAGACAAACAGCATTTAAATATGAACCCTATTTTAAAATAAATAATTCTGTGTACTTTGATTCAATATCAATAAATAAAATAATATTTTCATTAATTCTTGGAGGTTGCTCATTGGACTGCGACCACTAAAGTCCGCAATCTCCATCCAACCCTGCAAATGTCCGAAAAGTGATAAACTTGTCAATTCTAGTTCTACAAGATTCCTTTTTTCCATTCCAATCAAATGAGGTTCTGTTTTATCAAATGTTAAATACACTTACAGTGATTAGTGTGAAGGTTTTTTTCAGCTGTTCAGTCTTTCCCACGAACATCTCAGGCATCACAAAACAAAGAAGAGAGATAAGTTCAAGAAGATTGTTTTGCAAGGGAGTCCCAGTAAGCAGCAGTCTTCTCTCAGCCTGAAGAAAAAAAAAAGAACCAATTAAAAATATTAAGTTGCATCAAAAGTAATTTCATTTTTGACATTTTAATTCAAAGCTTATTTTATGTAGACACCTAAAAATATGCCATTATTATTTATATCTTATCATTTTCAAGTGGAGATCTTGCATTATGGGAGTTCTCCAAGTCATGTGACCTCAAACATACTGCCCATTTTTAAACTTTTCAATTTTTTTGGCTTTGATATTATGATCACCAGGAACAGCCACATCAATGAGGAGACTTTCTTGTTTTTTATTTTGATGATGATTATCATTATTATTATCATCATTAGCATATATAAAATATTTTGTTTTTACAGACCTTTACTCCAAAGATATTTTATATATATATATATATATATATATATATATATATATATACACACACACACACACGACTAAAGACTGGCTGATTCCACAATATTACAACTACGTTACTATCAACATAATACACAAAGAGGAAATAAAATGGCAACACCCTAAATGACAATGCTTCAAGGTGACTGGATAGTGAACGTTCATGCTAGGAGACAGTATGTAATAACATTCAGGCAAGTAGACCATTAATGTCAGGGTTTGAGACAGTAATACATTAGAGACATTTGAGAAGGGGGGGAAGGGGGTCCTCTAAATGCAATGCATTGGCGGTGCATCAATGTTGCCAACAGTGGTCAATATAACATTCCTATATCCATAGATTAGGTTCTAGATAACCATGTTGTAAAGACACTTGCTAAAGATCAATGCATTGTAACAGACTTGCACAGGAGAGATCAGAGCAAATGCAACAATCAGGGTTGTCAACATAGACTGTTAGGAATCATTTACTTGCAGCAGGACTGCAGATATACATGCACCTATGGCCATATTTATATTTATACAGCAACCATCATGCACATTTCCAATTATGTCATGGGGAGGGGGCTCACTTAGGGAAATTGAATGGTACTTCCTAGTGTTCAGTGAAGCAGTGACATCTTCCAGAATGTATTCACCCAGGATACACAGGCTCAATCCGTGGAATCATAGTGCAAGGTACCAGATTTGTAGAGGAAACTTTAATCAGCACCAAAATGTATATGTACAGAACATTGTGAAACCCATTCTGCTAACATTTGTGCAACAGACTCCCTGTAGCACTCTAGTCAGTAACTGACTCCTCATGCTATCTACCTTCATAAGAGACTGATCAGGCTGAAAATGAAGTACTGTTGCCATATTTGTGCAGAGTCTCATTGCTCTATCGCTACTTCCATAGAAAAGTTCTTGGGCAAACGACATTCATTAGTTCTGCCAGGTCTAACCTTCACAACTAGGACCCACCATCCCATTTACATAGTAGCAACCTCCCCCTCCATTCCCTCCATATTCCATCAGGGAGAAGTTCCACTCAAACAGCTTCTTCCTGCAAACCATGACCCTGAGGAAAAGACTCCCAAGTGGATGTTACCTCAATCACTACAATCTTAAGATCAAGTCTATAGATAATCGTTATCTCCCCAGCCCCACTATCCATATAAGCTACCCCTTATTGTAACCCTCCACCTTGTGGCCCCTCCCCAGGCCCTTGTACAGGATGAAGGTTACTGTAGTGTAAAAAAAAAAAGAGAGAGAGAGAGAAAGAGAGGGGAAAAAAGCAGAGTATTTTGTCCTAACAGAATAATGTTTACCCACATGATGGCTCATATTATTCAACATTCTCTGCAAGATGTTGAACAACTTCCCAGGTAGAACAATTGCCAGACCTGATACCCATTGAACATGTATTGAGAAAATACAACTCATTCAGTCAGTCCACCTACAGCTCTTGCTATATTGTGCTAATAAATGCAAGAGTGAAGGGATTTTGTATTGCAGGATGTTTTTTTGCCATCAGTACAATTGTAAGCATGTAAGGGTGCTAGATGATAATACCTAAGCAGGGATATACAGTCTGATTAATATGGGGTCTGATTACTGTTAATATACACCTTATTTTTCTAGGGTTCCCAAAGATCAGTGTAAAAAAAATTCTAGGACTTTTCAAGGACACACACACACACACACTGAATGGTCATCAAATTCAAAAACACAAACTTTGTAATTTGTCTTTTAATAATTTGACAAATGAAGTGTTCAAAGAAAAGCTACATCTGGTTCCAATAATTCATTGGACATGGATCCTTTGAAAGCAGTGAAGAAATCAAAATGTTAATGATTAAAACACAACTGGATGCAGACCTGGTTATATTATACATTTTTGTGTGGCATTCTATACAGTTTGGAATTCTACTACACTTAAAAATTTGAATTTCACACTTAATTCTTACTACTACACATTTCAGCTATCTAGATTACTCATGGTTTGTCAATGTCACAAATATATATATATATATATATATATATATATATATATATATATATGTCTTAAGGAACAGATGTACAAACAAATTTTCACAAAAAGACTATACATTTTAGCTACTTCTACTACTCATGCCTTTCGTTGCACATGGTACAGAACACAATGATGTTAACATTTTCTTTTCAGTTCATCTAGTTTAGCATTCAGCTCCTGTTCCAATTTTTAATATCTCTATGGATTTGTCCTTTGCAGATTTTCACATGACATTGGACATTGTGATATTTGTGAAGTTCTGAGTTTGCTCAGCTTTCTCTTCATAATTGTCAACTGACTTGAGCAAATCTTGTATGCAACTTTCAAGCTTGTTTTATTTGGTCTTCAGTTCTTCAATTTCCATAAGCATGAATTTCCGTTTTTGTGTAGCTGCTTCTCCCTGCTTTTTTTCTCAGCCTCCAGGTATTAGTTATATGCTGTTCTGACATTGGAAACACTGCAGAGAAGAGCCTTAGTCATGGGAACATTCCCAGCACCTCCAACTGTAGCCAAATGCGTGATAATGTGCTGTGCAACCAGAGTCTGCTGTTTCATATTGTCAGTGGAAATTTCCTTACTGAGAAACCTCTCTCCATAAGAGAGTATCAGCAATTTACAAACAACTTTCCACAGTTTTTGATATTCTTTGTTGCTAGACAAAGAGTAGAACAAAGTTTTTAAATTGTCTTCCTGCTTTGCTGAAATTCTTAAAAGCAATATTTCCAGCAGCCTCCACCCCAAGCTCTTTGTACTGACTGATGATGTCATCACAATCAGACTTGCTGGCTCGTTTTATTGTTCATCATGTGGGAAAAACATCTTTTTAGACTGTCTCCCGTGGCAATTTTTTTTTCTCACAAATGGATGCAAGGTTTAGCCATGCAAGTGACCTTACAAGAGGTTATCTAAGGAAAGACTTTGCCAGAAGTTTCTCAATGATGATGAACATTATTTTTGTTGCAATTCTTTATGCAAACAGATCTTTTTTTGGATAAATTTTGCATCTGCTAAAAATCTACACTCGATCTTTGCAGAATCTTTATGCATGTTTGGTTTTGACAAAATTCTTACAAATTCAGCTTAGAAAATATAATTATCTTTTTATCGTGCTCTTCCTTTACAAATCTTAACAGTTTCATGATCATGCTTACAAAGATCAAGGAAAGGAAGCAACAGTTTATTGAGCTGATATTTTATCAGAAACGGTTCAATGCCTTTTGAAATAGATACAAAAATCTGCAGTTTCACTGGAAATAAAATATTATTCATGTTTGACAGCACCACATAGAAAGACTTGGTCTGGGGGGGACATTTTTTGTTATTTTTAATTAATTTCATAAATTTGATGACATCTGTCCAAATGTCTAAGAGTTATTCATATATTTGTACATTTTCTAGCAATCTATGGCAGAAATACAAAAGTAAAGGGATAGGGTTGCCAGATTTAATTTTTAATATAAAGCCAAGCAATAAAAGCCAAGTAAGTTTTAATATAATTTCATTTACCACAAAAGCTAGAGATACAGGCCATTGTTAGACTGCAAACATTAAAAATAACATTCTTCTTATTTTTTTCAAAAGACGCATTTTTTATCCTATCCAAAGTCAGATCAAAGACACATTTTCTATTCTATTATCCTTCCCATCTACATTTTCTTTGAGTCAAATTTGATTTTCAACCTTGTTACTTTTGGAAACAATTTAGACAAATGTAATTTACATAGATACACATCAACACAGGACAAGTATCTATTTTTTCCAGCATGATTTCATCCACCGCTGACTAGAGATCAAAAGTTTTTACTTTTGAAATTGACATGTGAATAACATTTCTTCAATTGTTCAAATTTTAGAAAACTGATAAATTTTTCAAGATTCTACTAAAATGTATTTTATTACTGTAAAATAATTTATTACTTTCCTTTTCAACTACAAATTCAATGATTGTAGATTTAAGTTATCTTTGACGGAGATGTTTACTTTTCTCTCACAACTTTTCTTTTTGCTTTTCCTCTTTTCTTGTTAAATGAGGGTAGCAACTAGGAGCACACCTTAATATTTTTTCTCCCTTTCTTTCTAGTCACCTAGATGAGAAAATACAGCAGTAACTACGAAATTATGAACTCATTCTAATCAAGGAAACAAACCATCAATTAGCAATAATTGCCAAATATTAATGACGACTAAAAAAAGGAGAATTTTAGCTTGTGAAAATTTCAGATTTCTGGGATTATGACTTTCATAAATTGAGAAAAGGGATGTGTGTGCAGTCTAATTTAGAAAATTCCAGGACTTTTCAAAGAGCTTTTGGGCTATTGCTGTTTTTCCAGGACTGTACAGACCGTGTTTTATATATGTGCATATATTGATCTATACAGGTGATCATTTACTGTAATCCAACTATAATAGTTATACATTTAATCTTAAACAAATGTAAACATCTTCAGGGTATTTATATCATTATCAATACTAATCAGCTATACCATTTTGTTTCAGATGTTATGAAGTATACAAGTCTTGAAATCCTGGTATTTAGAGGCATTATTTTAGTCTGGGCCTCAAAGCCAGTGAAGTTTCTCACAGAATTTTGAAGGAAATTAAAGAATAGCTAACTGTATTATGCAATATTTGTTTAACTATTCAGTTGTACATTTTTGTTTCAAATGTTATAATCAAAATTAATTGATTTGGTTTTTTTTTATGGTTTATCAACCTTTTCCAGGATATTTAAAGCCAGAAAATATATTTAGATTGTAAGAATTTTTTGGAGATAAAAATGATTTACTGATACAAGTCCTATTAATTAATCCATAACTTGGGGGGGGGGGGAGAGAAAAGATGGATTCATACCTTTCCCAAAATTATTTGCACGTAGTTGAATATAACAAACCTGACTGGAATTGCTCGGTTCTCCAGTTATAATGAAGAATACAAATAATTGTTAAGGTGTATCCAAAGTATTTCCCTTACTTACAAACCTTTTACTCCAATGTTTATTTCCTGTACACATCTAAAGACTAAATATGACTTCACTATAATATTATAGAAAATTATCAGTACTATTCAGCCATACCTTTTTAGTTATAATGAGGAATGCAAGTATTGATATTCAGGCAGTTTGAAAACATTATTTTGGACTGAGCCTTAAAGACACTAAAGCTGTTCATAGAATTCAAGAAGCAAAAAGAAATGAAACAATATTTGTGCCCAAAAGTGGCTTAAATATTTTAATGGTGGTTAGATGTCACTAAAAATAAAGCCCAGAAGTGAATGACCATCAGTTGTCAATTATGATGTCTTAAAAATGGAAGAATGAGTAAAACACACCCCCCACCCACCACTATTCAAGCACTGAAACGTTCATGGCAGCATAGATCATCAAGAAACACCTCATATGTAGAACATTAGACAACCATAAAAATATAAACAAATGATAAAGAGTTGATTACACAACTAAAATATTTTATTACTTTCACACTTTAACTGCTTTTTGCACCGATTTCTACTGACACAATATTCCCCTAATTCCTGATATTTAGGATTACAGCAATATGTTGAAATACCGGTTCCCATACGATCACCAAAGTAATGTCAATCTTGGTCAGTAACTAGATGGGTGACCGTTTGAGAATATCAGGTGCTGTAAGTTTGGATGTGCAGGTGATGTAATGGATAACAGCTCAGAATTAGAACTCTCCTGATTTCCAATTCCAATCAGGTTAATTATAATTAATATCATATGCAAATTACCCTTGGGAAAGGTATGAATCCACCTCTTCTCCACCCATCACAACCACCACCACTATGGATTAATTAGTATCAGTAAATCGCTATCTTCAAAAAATTCTTACAATTTAAAAAAAAAAAAAAAAAAAATTTTGGTTTTAAATAACTTGCAGAAAAGTTGATAATCCATTAAAAAAAAAAAAAAAAAAAAAAAATCAATAAAAATATTTAATGAAACATGGTATGTAATAAGTGTGAAAAAATTGATCTAATTAACATCGAACACCCATCATTACAGTTCTGTCATCTTCAAAAATGATGAAAACAAGATTGTAGCCAACAGGATAGACAAAAAAGATTAAAAGTATTTTCATTAACATAAAAAGATGTGTGTTTCCAATAGCTACATACATAAGTCTTCAGAACATTAAATCAAATCAGTCATGTGAAAACTTTCTAATTGAGATTTGTTGCTCTAATTAGAGAAAAAGAAGAATAACAGGACTCAAAGATTCTCAGTTTACCATTTCTATCATGTACTGCTATATACAATTTCAAAAAGGAAATCATTTACATACAATGTGACATTTAGAAACTGAAAGTCTTACCTGAATTTTCATCAAATTCTGATACCTTAAAGACGACATATTCTTCAACATGTGACCCTCGTCAAATACAGCATAATGAAATTGAGTCTTTTTAAAAAGGACTCTGTCTTCTATACAACCTGTGGCCATATTGTAACTGGATAGACAGAAACAATAGTTAAACATTGGACAAAAAAACAAAAAAAAAAACAAAATGTAACTTTATTCAGCAACATTTTAAAAATTTATAAAATTTGAGTTGAATTAAATACGTATCTTTAAAGAGGAAGAAAATTATTCTGAGGAACAAATTTGATGAGTAAAAATGTTAACTTTTGATTTATTTGTATTATTATCTTTTGCCTGGTTCTGAAACAACATTTCAATTACAGAACTTGTTTGCATAAGAGGAAAAAAAAAAAAAAAAAAAAATCCTGTTGCAAAATGTGTCATTCCCCTAATAAAGACTGGGTTAAACTAACACCACCTAAATAGAAGACCTATTCAATGGGTTGGGTTTATGTGCTGACATCATTATATGTAGTATAAACTCTGAGAAATACTTTCATTAGCATTAGTTTTCTTGACTCGGTCCAATTTTTTTTTTAATATTTTTTGTAATTATTTGAAAAATATTTTCACTAAAATAAAAAAAAAAAAAAAAAAAAATGTTGACTGTCTGGTCACAAATTATAAAAAAAATGAACCAATAAGATAAGGATTTATCAGATGCATGGATACGTGTTATCAAATGGTAAAACTTTGTACCAAACAAAAATAAAGTGAGTAATTTCTTTTATATTATTTGTAAAAAGCATTAAAACAAAGTAATGAAGTGGCCTCCACCGTTAAAAGATTTATTGAATTCTGTGGACAAAATTATTAAACTCATAATTTTTCAATAAAATTTTCAATAGAAATACTTGAAGGAAATTATTATAATTTCTAATAAACATTTTAAAAAAAGAAAGTTTTAATTTTTTTTATTTGTAAAAAAAATATTTTCATAAAAAGTCCACAAATATGCATGCACAAACTTAAAATTTGCAATACATATAATTTTGCTTTTTGCTTGTGTCAAGTATTTCTAAATGGATTTTAATTTTGTTACTGAATTTTACAACACCTATGTAACAAAACTCTTAATTTTATCAAAGAAATTTTTGATAAAAATATGGACAGCATTTTTTAAGTTAAATTTTCCACCAATACATCTGGAAATTTCTCTTTGTGTTATTGTAGTTTTTTTTCCTTCACTATCATAGATTTTGACAAGTGTTTTAAAATAGTGTAATTGCACTTTTAATTTTTTTTTTTTTTTTTTTAGTTTTAGGTATGTGAACTGCATTCTTGACATGAAAACCTAAGGCAAGAAACATCAACATTTGATAAGAAAACTAATACGACAGTTACTGTTAAGCCTTAAGAAACCAATTCTTCATGAGGGTGCAATCCCTAGAATTTTACCAAACTGTCTCTCATATTTATCTTCACTATCCCCACCCCCAGAGTCGCCACAGTTCAGGAAAATTCAACTAGAAAATTCTGCCCTTAAAAGAGATTTAGATCAAAGTATTACTGATGACTTGGAATACAAACAGCAGAGGAGATTCCACAGCATTAAAGGGAAATTTAATTTTCCTTTATAGAAATTACTGCAGCATAGTGAGGTAGCAAGACTCTTATTATATGTCACAGCATTACATCACCATATCCAAAAATTAGTCAATCTCTTATAATTGTATATAATATTGCAGTACACATGTTCTGTGGTGATGTGGAAATTAATACTGAAGACATGAAAAAAAAAAAATGAACCTAAAAATAGTCAAACCAAACCTCAAAGCATGTTTGCTGTATTACATTTGGTGATGTCCTTTCTGCTATTAGTGGAAGACAAGTCATTTAGATATATTAATTTAACTGCATAAAAAGATGATCAGCTAAAAGTAATGACACAAAGTAAGTTTGATTATTCAGTGAAAATGATTTTTTTCTTCATTGTTGTATAACTGCTCTCCTAGAGGTTATCGGATGTTAAGAGACACCAAAATATAATTTTAACTTTTGTTATTCAGCCATCAAAAAACTAACCTTATCAACCTATATGAATCCTATAATTGAGCAACATAACAATTTTCTTATGTATATTAAAAGTAAGTTTAAATTATTAGAAGAAAAAGACATTACAGTATCTTTACTTGTAGAGGAAATTCCTTTAAAACCTTATTTTCATAATAAAGGTGGTCATGTTGTTGGCTTAGCCAACAAGAACACCGAGTCTGCAACAAGTACTTTTGATTTGGCAGTGTATTCTCATGAAGAATATTGTGCATCTTATGCCAATTAAATGTCTTAAAACTGACAATTTATTTGACATAGTTAAACATGTAATAATTGGTCTAGAAGAGATAGGCTTTAGAGTAATATCAGTCGTAACAGATAATAATGCAATAAATAAGAAAGCTAAATCTTTTTGTAGTCCTGTAAAACTTTCAATTGTATATCCACATCCATGAAATCTAAACATCTTTTCTTCATATTCAATTCTGTTCATATACTAAAATGCATTAGAAACAACTGGCTTGATCAAAAAATGCAAGTAAATACATGATTTTTCCCAAAATTTTAAAATAATGGAAATCATGATTTAGATAATATCCCAAGTGCCCCATTTTGTACTTTACAGACGTTTCCTGGAATCTCAGACAATTTTGAAATATTCCTATGAATTGATCTCAAAGACTCATTCTACCACTAGTTTTGAAAGGCAAAATGTTTCATTAGTTTTGCAAATGTTTAACCAATTCACTATTCAGCAATTGCTGACCTTAGAAACATGGAAATGTTTGCCTAACTTTTCAGAAGTTGCAGAATACATAACCATATTTTATACTTGGTGGACAATACTGAATGTAAAAACACTATATAAGTCAGCAGCTTAACAATAAATATGCTAATCCACTTAAAGTAAATGATGACAATTATATATAACTCAATATATTCTGCAACTGGCTAGAGTCTTGGAATTGCATTTCTGGAAATAATGGGAAGCTAACAATTAAAACTTTCACAGCTTTGCATCATACTACTCATGCAATCCTATAACTGACCAAATATTGCACTGAAGAATTGAAAATGACACATGTATTACCTGGTGATTTTCAAATACATCACCTTGATGATCGGTTTGGCCAGTATTGGCAACTTGGTGGAGATCAATATAATATCTTTATATGTCAAGTGTTTGAGTGTGGAGAAGAAAATCAAAATGTCAGTTTTAAAATAGATCCTGCCACTAAATAACCAAAGTATTCATTTGAAGAATTTACAAACTAACTGAAGTGGCAGGTGAGAAAAATTTATAAATTTAACAGATTTAACATTTTTTTCTACAATTATTTAAAATTTGTCTTATTTTCTAAACAACAAAAATGTCAACATTGTAACTATACTACTACAGAATAATTAAAAGAAAACATGCAAATTAAAACCATGTTGATTTCTGTTATTGTAAAGAAAATAGTTTTCAAATAATTTCACACAATCAAAATAAGGAAAGGAATTTTACAGTCTTTAAATTCAATAATGAAACATACACTATTTACTTTAACAAATATAAAACTTTAAATAATTTTCCTTTAGAAAATAAAGTTTATTCTAAAATCAAAGCTTGGTTTCTTTCTTTTCAAATGCAATTGTAATATAAAAAAAATATATTCATGTTCAATATACTAACTTTATAGAAAAATCATTAAAATAAAAATGGAATTTGAATTCATTGTTTGTTCTTTATTTAAAGATAAAGAAATTGAACCCTGGTTTGCTTTTCTTCTAATATGATAAATTATTCTGTCAATTTCAATTGTCAATACTGTAACTTTAAGGAATAAAATGTTTTTATAATAATATTGTTTGCTTTTTTTTTTCTTTATTTTTATAAATTAGCATTGGATACAAGTTTTAAGATGAAATTCAAATCCCAATTTTTTTTTAAAGTATTCTATACTTAAAAAAAGCCTACAATTATTCATTTCACCTTATTATGACCTTGTTGTGACATCACATTTAATTGAGCAGGCCTTTTATCTCAGCAGTGTTGGTTAAAAGCAGTAAAAAATAAAATAAAAACACACACACAAAGGTGGAGATAAATCCAAATAAAAAACTACCAAGTTACGAAGATTTGAGAAATTTTTAAATAAAACTGAATCTATCCATAGACATTGGTAATTTCTAAAATTTTTATATGCCTTATCCAAAATCATTTATATAGTCGCTTGTTCACAAAAAAAAAGCAAATAAATAAAACTGGTCTACAGCAAATAGAAAAAATAATTGCATGCATATTGTTTTTTATTTTGTCGACTGCACAGTACATCAGTTGGGGACCGTCTGTGAGAAAAATAGCACTATGACACAATTCACCGTGCCAGAAATTTGGAAATGACATGCTGTACTGCTTGGCATTCACACCAGAAGCTCCAATACAAACATTTCAGAGTGTTTGGGTGTCAATCTGAGGACAGTGCATAGGATTCAGAAAGAGTTGGATGATATATCCAGTCAATGTCATCGTGTTTGGAGTAATCACTAGTGATGACGAGATGTTATGCTTCCATTCATCTTCCAACAGGGCTTCAGACTCAATACAGAAGACTACATCAAGTGCCTTGAGGGGGTAGTGCTGCCTTAAGTCAAGAGGGTGACTGCTGGAAGACCCTATGTCTGGCAACACAACTCTGCACCATGCCACACAAACAGGAGAATCCAGTTATGGCTGTCAGACAATTTTTGCGACCACATCACTCCCTTACATCTGGTCACCTAACTACCCAGGCTGCAACCCCCTTGATTATTATGTGTGGGGCACAGTTGAGCAAGAGACCAACAAAACTCCTAATACTAAAGATGAACTGAAAGCAAGGATTATGGCAGCATTCACCAACTTAAACAAGGAGACCACCCAGAAGAGTTGCAAGAGATTCCGAAGTCGTCTGGAAGCCATGGTTGAAGCCAATGGTGATTTTATTGAATATTCTATAATATTTCAATATATTCTTGTGTGTAAGCATTCTGAAAGCAAAGGAAATGTTTGTCGCAGATTAATTCAAACATAACTCCATAATACTAAAGATGAACTGTTAAAATGAGATGTCAATGTTATTTTCATTTTTGGCAATTTAGATGACATTTATCCAACCCTTAAATATATATAGAATAGCCATTTTGTTTCAACAGAAGAGTTGGTGTTGAAGAGAATAAATGGTTTTAAAAGTTTCAGATGAATTAACGATCGTACTGGAATTGTTACAAAAGCTATGGTTCAAAAACGAAGCCAATGGTGATTTTATTGAATATTTATATGATATAATATTTTTTAATATATTCTTTAAAAACTACAAAAATTATTGAGAAAAGAAAAAAAAATATATATGTTTATTCAATTCATTTCTTCATTTAAATTATAAAGACAAAAAGCTACATTCTGAAAATAATACATGTTATATTTTTTTTCTTTTCAAAGGAAATGTTTAATCATGTATATCAAAACACAATCATTAATTCCAGAATATAACTCCATCAAAAAAAAAAAAAAAAAAAAAAAAAAAAAAGGAAGACACACGACATATATATTATTAATCATATAAGTTGATAATAGTTTCATTATATATTTGGCTAAAGTCTATATATATATATATATATATATACTTGGTTTGACAAGGTAATTAAATAATATTATTTTAAACATTTTATCTTTATATATTTGCTTTTTATAATTCAATAAGTGGTTATTTAAGTCTGAAATATTTATTGTCTATGCCATTGTGGATGTATTTTGATAAATTCACATTTAACTGTGTGTGTATATCTTTTAAAATGAGATGTCAATGTTATTTTTTTTTTTTTCGTAAAGGGCTGTGTGTGTATTCCCCCATCTTTTGTTTTTTTTTTTTAAGTGTGTGTGTATTTATGTCTGTAATTTAGATGATCTGATTGTGTTTATCCATCGCATCAGATGACCTTGTAGTGTGTGAATAAACATATATATTTTTTTTTCTTTCTCAATAATTTTGTAGTTTTTAAACTTAATAGTGATTAAATTTGGATTTTAAAATATATATATATATATATATATAATATATATATATATATATATATATATATATTTTGTTAATCTTTCTGTACTTCGTTTTTGATTGGTTATTCTAGCTTTTGTAACAATGCTCCCCCTAGGTAGGATAACAATTTTAAACCATTTATTTTTTTTCAACAAAAACATGTATTTTTGTAAAGCATATTTTTAATGATATACTTTGATAAATATATATATATATATATATATATTTATATATATATATATATAGAGCAGATAAACAATCACAAAAAGCATATTTTTTATGACTCCTGAAAAACTTTGCCATTTGATAACCACAAATATCTGAAAAGTCTTTCTGTTAAACTTACGTTGTGAGGATTATATTGATATCATGGTCTTCATATTTGAGATGGTGACGAGCAGCTTGTCTTTCCTCTTGGGAACCATAGTACATGAGAACATTGAAGGCAGGACACCATCTTTGAATTTCATTCATCCAATTGTCTACAATTATATAGAGAAGGTTATCATTTTTGACCAAGCAAAATGAAAGAGTTTAAAGCAAAAAAAAAAAAAAAAAGTTCAAATGTGTGCAAATGAAAGGTTCCATGTTTTGGAATTGGATTCAGTTTTCTTCAGCTAAAATGCATAATGCTGATTTTAAAAAATTGTCACAGAAAATCCTGATTGACAAGCTTCTTGTAAGTATATACTGATACATTCAGGTGTCAAATAATGGTTCTAACTTGTTAATTTGTGGATTTCTTTCCACTCCACCCAGAAGTTTATGAGGGTCCCACTGTTTATTTTTGACTATTTATAGCATTGAGAAGTTCTTGTTTTGTTGATGGAAAGATGAACAAATTTCAAATTTAAATTGTTCATCTAAAATACTATGCTTATTATAAAAGATATTGAGTTTAAATACAGAAGGAATCATAATAATGTCTTCAAAGAGTCACACATTTCAGCTTGTACTCTTTTCCTATTAACCAAGGGTTGTTGCTAGACAGAAAAGGAAATTAACCATATGCATTATTTCTTCACCTGTAGTAATCAAATTAATTAGGTGAACAAAGCATTGTATTTTATTATAAAACATGCTAAGAAACTCATTCATAAAAATCTCAAACTGTTTAAACTTGGCTTGCCAGTTCCAACTTTCATTTTGGTTTTGACACTATGTGATACTGGCATATGGAAAAAAAAGTGGTTAAATTAAAAACATAGCTCAGAACAAGATGAGAAGAGTTAGATGAATAGAACAATGAACAGACTGAAAGAAAGAAAAAAGGAATTCTTTTTATTTCCAAAGCCTGTTTCATTTTAAGGCAGAGATATTTTGAAGTGATTCTGGTACAAGATATTACCACAAAAGCCATATGGCAATATTTAGCTGACAGCTGATTAATGAGGTAGCTTAAAAAGCACTGGTTATGAAAACACAATATAAGCAGAATAGATCAAATTTGGTCTATAACCAAATCAAGGGAACAGAGTTTCAACCCAGGACCTAGAGTACAATGACGCTGGCAGGATTTGTGCATGGTGACTAAATGGAGGGAGCAGCTGGTAAATTTCGGATTTTTGAGCAAAGCCAGGCTGAGAAATTTCACTGACACAAAATTTAAAATGATAATTTTAATTAATGACCAGGAACAAAGGCCATGCCACACAGTTGAGAGCCAGATTGGTCAAAGGACAACCAGGGTAACAGGCACAGGAAGACGGAGGAATTGCCTACACCCATTGGGAAGTGTTAATGTGAGGCACAAATAAGAGAAGGAAAGAGTTGGGCAGACTGATATCTTACAACTGTTACCCATCAAAAAAGAGGTCTATCCAAATTTGGAAGTATAATTAATTATCCAGAACCAGACAACAAGGAAGGCCTTGTTGGAGATAGGGGAACCACAGAGTCCCCCATACCCACGTCAACCCCCATGCCAGTTTTGGTTGGAAGTCAATATAAGCAGAATACTGAGATGACCAAGAGACACAGACGTCCCGGACTACAAACGAGACATGACAACCCTGCCGAATCCCGCATGACTTACTGCTAGAGAACGTCTAACTAGAGCCCTGTTCCAGACTTAGCCAAGTTGAACATAGTGTCATAATAAAACACAAAGTGGGAAGGATTAATGTTTTATACCCAGAACCAATTCATTATATAAAAACAGTATATAAATTTTCATAGAACTAGAGCCTGAAGAACACTTGTCTTTTCTTAAAATTCCTTTGCCAGGGACGGACCAACATCATAATTGCTGATGACAATTTGAGGCTTGCTGGCTCTGTGATCAATCATCACAACATTGGCAGAGCAGTGGTTTAAACCACAGTGACCAACCCAATGGCAGCATTTGACCATAGTCCAACCAACAGAAGAGTGTTATAGGTTAACCACTTCCATTCTACTGAAATAGTTTTGAACCCAAATTGCTTCAGTTCAACATATCCACTTAATTTTGCAAAACAATTTCAAATGTGGTTCTGTTCTAAAATTTTTCAATGATATATGACAGTTGATAAACTAATCTAGAAAAGCTAAAAATGTTTGCATTAAATATTCCAATAAAACAAGAAGAAATCTTACCAATTGTGGATGATGGCACAATAATAACATGAGGGCCACTTTCACCTTGTTCTAACAAATAAGCAAGAAATGCAATGGCCTGCACTGTTTTTCCAAGACCCTGGAAAACAAGAAATAAAAACCATCTAAAGAATCTCACACAAAGCAAACGAAAATGAGAGGAACAACTTCTACATGTATCAGGGGGCTACAAACAAATAAATTCTAACTGTATATTTGGCAAACAAATTCTAAATTAATAAGATTAAAAACAAATCCATATTATTTGAAACATGACATATAAAAGGCAAGTTTACACATAAGAGATAAATGTGTTAGAATAATGTGAGAATAAAGCCCATTACTCAGGAAGTCTACCAGAGCAACAATTGTAAAACATACAATGTGGCTTATTTCTTGCTTTTCACCAACTGGACATATGAAAATTCCATGTTGCATCTCTATTCTTATGCATGTCAGTGTGCACCAAAAACTAGGAAAGGCCCATTGCATGCTCACAAGGAAATGAATGATGAAAATAAATGCCACTGGGAAAGACGAGGAACTGAACCCAGTTTCCAACATTGTTAATTGTTTAATTCAAGGATTCGCTTGCACTGTCCGTGTGGGACGGCTAGATAACAATTTGGACAACTTCTACCACTTCTGACATCTCTAACAGATCATATGGAACTGGCAACTGGTGGCACCAGAACCAAAGGGACAGTGTTAAAAGGTGTTCTAACACTACTTCAAGAGAGTATTCCCAGCCAAAGGCAATCCAGAATACTACTAATTCAATCCTAAATCTGACCATAAATCCTTAGTGTCCAGTTTTACTATCAATTGTTTCAAAGTTTTAATTCATTTATTTTTGTATTCCCTTTCAGTCAAGTGGGTGACCACTCTGAAAACCATATCACAGACTTACTGTGGATCATGAAACACAAAAATTTGAAACCAAGATAAAATCTCATGCCATCTTCTTTGTGGATCTCAGAGGGCCACAGTAACTGTGACTACAACAACAGATTGAAAGGAAAGAGTGAAGGAGATGCTGCACAAGTTTCATCTTGGTATAATTCAATATAGAGAGCAACCTAAGTATATAAAAAAACAAAAAAAAACAAAAAAAACATGAAAGTTTATTAAATTAAGCAGGAAAACTAATCTTTGAAATATGAGCTGAGATAATAAAATATAACCCATCAATTGATTTATCCACTCTGGAACTTAAAGTCTAATGATGTCGATTTTGTGGGGATTTTTTTTCTATTGACATCTGAAATTCTTGTCATTTATAAGTTAGCAAAATAATTAATTTACCATTTCATCAGCAAGGATTCCATTTACTTCTTGTGAATGCAGAATTCGTAACCAGTTGAGACCAACAAGTTGGTAAGGTTTCAGTTCCATGCTATGAAAATAAACAAGAAGAATTAGGAATTAAATTGGACTAATTTGAGGCATCATCAAGATCTAGATTCAAATTCATCTCCTATACTCCACAAGCTTCAGTATTCACTAATCATTCATTTATCATTAAACAATCAAAAAAGGTTTCATTTTTTTGTCGAATTTTAATCCATGCTTTATTGTTAACTACGTATTTGTATTAAAGACAACTAAATTGTTTTCAGATTCAGTATTTTCATTACATTTCAATTTTGACTAGATTTTTTTTTTTTTTTTACTCTGAATAAAACTGTCACAAAATGAAAAATAAGTAAAAATTATAAAGAATTTAAAGCCAAAGAATAGATCAGCTAAAAACGATTCCAAGTAACAAAATGATACAAAACATAAATAAAAATTTACTAACACTGTTCCATAATAGTTTGTACATTTCGTCTATGAATCATGTATGCAAATGTATCAACCATTATGGGACAGAGGTATGTGCAATAACGAAAACATTTCCTTAGAATCTGAAAATATTAGCAATGTCCCAACGCCAATCAAGCCAACTTTAAAGGAAAGGGGATGCAAGTTCAAATCTCAGCTGAGGTAGCCTTCTTTATTTTCACTTCAGGTTACTCAGTCATAGAATCCAAACCAGTTTGAGAATTATGATAAAAAGCAAAATTAATAAGATGCAATGGGCAAAAATTAATATGAAAAAATAATTCATCTAAGAAATTCAAACAACGTTACATTATGTATTCAATGAAGTCACTCAACATTCTCAGTTTCCATAACAGCTTGGTGAGTAGGATCACCAGTGATAATCCCCAAAGGCACTACAATCATATCTGGTAAATTAAAATAAGTTTTCAGATCAGAATGAATTGTGTGTGTTTGAGATTTTTTATATATAATTTTTTTATTTCAGGATATCAAAACAAAACATTGTTAAAAATTGCTACAGAATTGCAATTATGTTTCAACACAACAAATGTGTCTCCTCAGGCAATGTTAAACTACTGGCAAGTGAATAATTATTTTAATTTCAAAAGCAAAATTTTTTACTAAAATTAAGGTTGACAAAGTAAGAAAAATGATTCATAGAGAATTAAAAAGCTTAAATCTTAAGGTTAAGATAACTACTAATGTTAAACGAGTAGATTTTCTTGATGTTACATTAGATCTTGTTAATTATGTATTACGATCTTATAAGAAAAATAATGCTAACCCAATATATATTCACCCCAATTCTAACCAGCCTCCACCTGTAATGAAACATATACCCTCATCTATAGAATGTAGAATTAGCAACAACTCATCTGACAAATAGGTGTTTAATAAATATAGGCAAAATTTGGTATCATTTGAAAGATTAAGCAATTTACTTTCATATAAATAAACTTGTAATACTTGATTTTCAACAGTTTAAAAATATATCAAATTAATTGCACTAACATCACATATTCGGATTTTTCAACACTTCAGTTCAGCTTATTGGGATTTAATAATTGAAATCTCTTAAGGGCTAATACAATACTTGGGAAATGTCTTCATACACTAACTTTATGGTAATTCAACAAACCAACCTTAGTACAACCTTTTGACTAGTCCTTACACGGTATGATTGATACAATCATACTGACACAAAAATCAACATCTGTAATACAGTAACTGTTTAAGATAGTTAAATTCCTTCTTGCAAACAAAAGTAACCTTTCACTGCAAGTATTACTACTAAAAGTTAACCTCTCCTCTTGATTATAATGCTTGGGTTTGGGTTAATTGACTTTTTGTCACATATCAACTTGTTGGAGTAGATATTATTAGAGAAAGGTGTGTGTGTGTGTGTGTGTTTCTATAAAAGAGAAAAGAAAAGACTAACCTGGGATTTAAAATCGGTGGTTGTTTTGTGATTTTCATTTCAGGCACTGATTTCCCATCCTCTTCAAAGTCTGCAGCATTGACCAAATAACTTGCTAAATCTCCCATCTCTTTGGAAATCTTTTCACATTTTTTCATTAATCGAATCACAACTTCACGCATATGAATGACCTCTTTGCCGCCACCAATTAGACGTGATGTCAGCGCTTTAGTTGATTCCAGCTTCTCCAACTGAAGATGAAATAATAAAAGGGCTTTATAGCATGACAACATTGATATGGGTCATATAACACCTAATATCAGACAGACTGATACTTTAAAATCTAGAAACAAAAATGTTATCCACTTCAATATGATAAGAGTTTGAAACCTCACTGGATGCTCATGTTACATAAAAAACTTAACTGTATACCAGACAGTATATGACTTCTCTTCTTTCAAATGAGATTCATCTGATTTAAAAAGAAAAAATGCCTTGTCCATTCAGGACAGTCAATTATGGCTTCCTTTCTACAGATTAAGTTTTTTTTTTCATTACCTGTGAATTACTATGCTTCCTTAGGTAAGATAGTGGAATGGTTTCCAGTTGCCTTCTTCATGGTTTGGAATTCAAAGTTTTTATTCTCCTAGACTGGTGTAACCCAAGGCTAGAGAGCTCAGCCTAGCACACTATTTAACCCATAATCAGGGATAAATAAGGAGGTGTTCATGCCTTTTCCTCCCCAACAATATTTGTGCAAAAGTGAATGCAACAGAATCAGCTAGAATTTGAATTCTAGCCTTTCCATGCTGCAACATTATGTGCTTTGACTAGTTTCAATCAAACTTTGGAAGTGAACATAACATTCATACTTACAAGCACTACTTGACTTGAATAACAATGATTAATTTCCTTTTTTTTGTTATGAAAACAAACATCTGACTATAAGAGAAAGAAGAAAATTCAAATATAAAACAATATGTAGTTTTAATTGAAAAATAGCCAAATCTCTCACAAAATTTGAATATTCCAAAATGTGAGACTTGATATTCTTTGAAATATATAGTAATAATAAAATATTTCCACAAACCAATTCTTTTGAATATTTGACTAACAATTATACTAGTTAGCATTAGGTACTAATCTTATTCTATCAGATTAAAGTTGCAGTTTTTTTTTTCTCAAAAATTGTTGGACAAACCAAATTTGACAGGTCACATTTATAGAAAAGCTAGTCAGGACCAGACTCACAATGTATGGTGACACAAGTGCATTAACTGTCCCTGTATTTTGGTGTTGCCACTTTATATATTTCTTATTTGGGGACATATGTCCAGTTTGTTTTTTTTGTAATCTAAGCCATCCTGTAAAATAAATTCACATTTGTCAAAATTGGTAAAAAAAAACTTACAAGATTATCATAAGTTTTAAAGGGGCGTAGACTGATAATAATTTCAGCTTTTTTCCTGGAACATCCAGGAATTCCCATCAGTTCTTCAAGAGTAGCATCATCAAAAAATGATTGGATTATGTTTTGTTCTGTCTGCTCAGCGGTTTCAATTTCTGAATCCTCAAAGTCAATTTCAATATCAGCATCATCACTGTCATCCTGTAAAAAAAAAAAAAAATTTAAAAAAAATTAATATAAAATAAAATAAAATATAGAAGAATCAATTAAATCTTATTCACCAAACATCTTTTTGATTTGTCAGTTATTGTGTATCTCAAGAGTCATGGGCACCAATGTCATTCATAATGAAAACTTGGGACAGGTTTTTAGCATATTCATTTTTGAAAATTCAAAAATCTTATATTTTTAGCAAAGGGTTTGATTTACAAATATAAAGCTAAAAATGGACCCATACTTTGTGTTCATCAGGTTAGCTAGAGCAAATCTTTAGCTGCATAAAGTAAACAACATGCTGAAAATTTCTTAACTAGAAACCAAAATTAACACATTTTTTTTCTCACCTATTTTCATAACTTAGAAAAATAGAAAAAAAAAAAAAAAAGAAAAGAAACATAGAAAAGAAAAAAGTAAGTCATAATTAACTATGGATATGGCAGTATCTGCTCCTCCTGCTTTGGCAGTAATTAACTTCTTTTGCTAGATTCAAACAAGTGTTAGTGAAGAGAAAAGACTAAACAGTTAAGCAGAGATATAGGACAAGTTTATGCAAAGTTCTCTCCCGTGGGATATAGCCATACATAGATATATTTGTGTAGAAGTTTCAAACATACCATTCTCTAGATAGGAAACAACCACATAAAGATTAACAAAATTTTAACAAAACACTAGTTATCTAAATAGCTAAATTAGCAAATTAATCATTTTTTACCCAGATTGACTTAGTTCTCTCTTAGAATATTTTCTACTACAAAAATTTCATAAACAGAAATAAACATTGTAAACCTAAAGTCAATTTAGCATTTACCGACTAATTATATGTATTCTTTGATTTCGAACCAATTTGAACACCATTAACAAGTTTCTTCCATTCTTCTTGGGAGTTTTCCTTGGTGCTTCACTCTTCAAATCACTATCATTTCTTAGTTGATCTACAAATTTTACTCAGTCTCCTTCTTTTGCATTTTCTGTTTAAGTTCCCCACAAAATTACTTAATGACTTTCCTTCTCCAAATGTTCCCAATGAATTGCATTCTTTTAATTTGTAGTGATTCTATCACAATTTTATGTGCACACCTATTTTATCATCCACAAAGGCCAAAGCAAAAAAATCAAATGGAATACAATATCTTAATAGAAAGTCAACAAGCCAGGACCCTATTTGATGTTATATAAAACCCCATGAAGTGGCTCACATTATATCTCCTGAGTCTTATATGCAAAGTCAAAGCTTACCCACATGCAATAGACTATCAGTACTCATACCTAGCCTCACCTATAAATATTGTAATATTAACCATAAGGGGCAGGGGTCTTTATGTAATTAAATATGTTGTTAAACTGTATCAACAATTCAGTTCACTGTGAAAAATAATTTTTTCAGCTTTTTATTAACAAAGATTAAACTACAGCAGATCTTCTCAAAGATAAAATTGCCTAAACACACATCCTAACTGCACCAGAGCAAATGAAACATTTTACAATCCTAGCATCAATTTTTCTATTAAAATTTCAATTCCTCATACAAAAGCATAGTGTTTTCAGCCACACAATGAGTTTACTATGCTTGAAACAAAAAAACAAAAAAAAAAAAAAACATTAATATAACTTGTAAAACAAATAAAGTTATCCCCACATTAATATAGCAATATATTTAATATGTTGATTCAATGGTTAAAGGAATAAGTACAATACAAATTTTACTTGTTATTTCTAAAGAAATAATACACAAGTGAAATGAAAAAAAGCTGCAGACAAAGGCTTTGTAACCCAAAAATGCCAACACTTAATTGAACAGCAAAAATAAAATCTTGTATGAATGAGCAGAAATGAATACTTATAGCAATAACAAAGGGTTATACATTCAATATATGAATAGAGAAAGAATATTTTTAATTATTCCTTATTAAACAAAAAAGAAATTCTTACATCAGAAGCACTTTCAGATTCTTCACTATCTTTCTTCTTGACATCTGAAAATAAAGATTTTTAAAGCATTTAGAAAAAGATCACTTCATAATTTGTAATAAAATTTATGATACTTAAGGACATATTACCCCACACCCACTATTTATATTTAATTTAATAAAATTTACAATATAAATAGATCTGAATTTCTTAATATTGTAACAAAATACAGTCTTTTTTGTAATGTCATATGTATACTCAACAGATAGGCACCAGGAAAGAAAGTTACTAATTAAAACTAGCAGAACATCATTACAAGTTATTGAAATTCTTTATTTTAAAAATTTTCAACAACTACAGGACATGCCTCTTCAGGAAGTAGGTGATCATGACTCTCCACAGCTTCCTACCTTTAAACTATTATTACATAGTAAAACAAACATAAATAACTGAACATTTACTGGCAGAATGAAAATTTATCTTCTGCTTCCATGATTAGAGTAGTTAAGATGGTAGTCATGAAAACAGACTCTTAAGGTATTGGGTGGCAAGTTATTGGAAGCTACTACTTTCAATTTCATGTTCTTTGCTCTTGTTGTCAAAGACATGTAACAATTGTCAGGATAAAGAAAGAAACTAATAATTATGGTCTACAATTGGTATTTTAAAATAAAAACAAATTTGAAGCACAAATCAGACTTTAATAAACGAAATTTACAGCCTCATGATGTCTAGACTAAATGCTGGCAGACATTCACCCAAAAGAATATATTTTACTCATATACAGAAGCCCAACATAATAAACAAACAAATAAATAAATAAAGGACCCACTAACCTTTATCACTTTTCTCACCTGAAGCCAGCCACACGATAGTTTTTTCCAGGCACCACTTATTTTCTCGCAGTAGATCCCTAAGCTCCTGCAAGGAGGGAAAATGGTCAGAAAATATGTATTAAAAAGGGAAGTAATTTTTAGTGCAAATCTTCTCCCTTCGTCTTATATTTATTTATTTAAGAAAAAAAAAAAAAATTTTTTCTTTTTTAAATACAATCTCACAAATTCTCACTTCCAAAAATTATTAATATCATCAAAAGTACAAAAGCCCAAACCCTTTTCTAGGCCAAAATGATTTTAGCTTAATCCGGATGATTTTGATGAAAGCAAGATGCAATGACTGACAAAATTCCAATCTGATATTCACTAAATCCAAATAGAATTATCTTATCAATTTTCATACCAGAATTATAGTCACTTTTCTCATTGAAAAAAAAAAAATTAGTGTCTATGATTAGCTGAATTTTGATTTGAAAGTTTCACTGTATAATATTCAGTCTGTATAGAGAAGCATCATTGACAAGGAAGCAGGTTATTTTAAAAAAAAAAAAAATAGATTGTCCATTTTACAAAACTAATGCCAAAATGTGATACTTTGCATCTTTAAGCCTAATGTTTGCAAAAAGATACATTTATTTAAAGACGCACCAGAAAAAAGAATTCTAACACTACAATGAAAATAGACATACCTCCCGCGAGAAAGCAGTAAAAGCGTCCGATAAAAAATCTATCCTTTCTTCAATGGTCTGTGCATCAGGTTCTTGTGATTCACTATCAGAAGATTCTTTACTCTCGGACTGTTTTACTTTTTTGGCGCTATCTTTTTCTGCACCATCACCACTATCCTTACGTTTACGTTTCACTTCTGAAAATAAACAAACATACTTTAACTGCTGTTATGTTTTAGGATGAACAATAAATGCAGTCTTAAGTTTTCAAATGTCACCTACATCAGGCTATTCATTTCTATCATGCTAGTAAATTCCTTAATGTTCTTAGATTAATGACATTTCAGAACTACAAGCTGCCAACTAAATACTTATCCAATAAAAGCCAAAGATTCATCATTATTGTTCTATTGATTATAGAAAGGAGTTAATGAAAATGTTTTATCAAAATCACATGAATACCACAGAACTTTCCCCAGGACTTCCATTTAAGAGTTTGACTTTCTTTTAGATAAATATAAATTTGTTTAAACTTTATACTACCACTGAGACAACTATGCCAGAAATCCAATTTAAAAATTGCATAACATTTAGTGATTAACAATATTAGCAGTTGCAAGAATTTTAGAGTTTCTCAATTTTGTTTGACCAAGAAGCAGCACCAGATAATCAATTGCTTTTGCTGGAACCAGATACAAAGCAATTTTGTCAAATAAGGTTCTATATGAAGGAGAAAGTTTAGTCATTCATTATTGCACAGTGGAGGATATAGATTTGGGTTTTTTTAAAAAGATGACGGGAGATTTGCACTAAAAATTACTTCCCTTTTTAATGCATATTTTCTGACCATTCACTGCAGGAGCTTAGGGACCTACAGTGAGAAAATAAGTGGTGCCTGGAAAAAAAAAAACTATTGTGTAACTAGCTTCAGGTGATAATGGTTAGTTGATATCTTTTTTTTTTTTTTTAGATCATAAAGAATACGTCTCGTTTCTGTATATGAGTAATATATATCATTTTTTATTTTTGTTTTCTGTCTTATCTTCTAATATCAAATGGCCTTTTTGGTTATAGAACGTAGCTAGATTTGAGTATGAATGCAAGTTAGACACATGTCAAAATATTATATGTAGTATAATATGCTATTATTCTATAAACAAAAAGGAGATTTTGATAGAAAAAGATCAGACAACACAAAAAAAACTAAATTCAAACATTTAACTGATTATATCCAAATGTCTCTTCAAGGATCCAACATTGTTCAGATGATCAAATCTATATATCCATTATTGCTAATGTTTCAGTTGATACATTCTTCTTCATTAACAACATGAAATATACAAAAAAAAAATTTGAACACCCAAACAATGTCAGATAAACTAATGACTCTGCCCCAAAATAAACAATAAACAGATTATTTTAGCTGATTATGAGAAAGAATAAACTAAGTTGAGACATTGTACACACAAGAAAAATTTGACAAGTGCTAAACTGATTCCAAAGGGAAAAGGATTGTCTTTCTTACAATAAATTTCCTTTCTTCAGTGAGTCTATGGTAATTAGTGCAAACTTCCTACTGAGATTCCAATGCTCTAACTACTGAGTTAGTAAACAATTAGTACAAGCATTAAACATCACTTACTGACAGGATCTGCAGCTATCATGCTGTTAATGGCATCATCTAAGTTCTTACTGCTATTCAGCACTTCCTCCAATTCATCTCGGGTCTTGTGCGGGTAAAGCAAGACAAGTGTATTCAGTTCAGCGACTTTCACTTTGTCTTTCTCGGAAACAGCCTTTGAAACTGTTGTGTAATGACCTTTAGTGTCATCATCATCATCATCTGAATTGTCATCCGACACAGGCCGTCTGTATCTTCTTTTCACTGGCTGCTTTCTGCAATGAAATAGAATTCATTCTTCTGTCTAAATGGCAGGTTCAAGCTAAAGACCTCTTTTCAGAACTCACTATTAAAACTCAAAGGAGAGCTTTCTACATGCCAAATTAAAATAATATTAACCACATGAGGGGGTGGTGATACAAAGTAAAGATTAAAGTGAGGAGCCTCATATGTAAATGTAGGTAATTCCAGAAATTATCCAGTTCCCTTAGCACTTTCTTTCTGGGACACCTTAGACAGTGACTATAATCAGACTTCTTTTAAAACAGAAAGGGGGTCTACCTGGGAGAACAGCCACCTGGAACTGGACAGATTTTTATGGAATGGAAGAATAGACTCTTGTATTGTAAATTAACTCTTCTATTAAAAAGATATTTAGATAGAATTATTTAAACAAGAGAATGTTAAAATAAAGATTTATAATTAAAGAGTACTGTATATAGGTAATAACATGGTAGTATACAAGTAATATGGTAATATAGTGTTAATTATAAAGATCCCTTCAAAAGACTAGCCTTTCATGTGTCAAAGTTTACAAGATGAGTCAATGTTATTGTCTTAAATATATATCATGTTTTTATTCAGTTGTGTTAAATGAAAGGTATTCTTCATACAAAACAGACAATTCCACTGTAAGAGATTTATAACATCCCTGCTTCTGACTTACAAGCATTCTGAAAAACAACTAGAAGAAAAAAAAAAAAAATCAAGTCATATGTGTGTGTATATTTGTTTTTCTTGTCTAACATTTTGTTAGATTACTACTTAATTTTTCTTAGGAAATGACATTGTCTAAATGTACATTGTATCTATTCACATCCACTTTTGTTTTAATGTTTGTTGCTGTCATTGATTTCAAACCTACGGGTCATGACTCATTTATGGAAAATAATTTCTTAATTTTTGCTTCTTCCCTTAGTTTAAATTTAACATGGGTCATATTCAAATGGTTGATCTAAGCAAAGCCCACAAACTTTATAACCATCCCTACTTTTCTTTTGTTTTTTTTTCATAAAAAGAGGTGGTATTTTGCTTTTAAATCTGATTCACTCACCAGTAATTGACAATCGCCTGATGTGTTGCATGTGCATGGAAACACAACTGCAACTGTGTAGCAATTTTTACATGTTTTCAATGTAATATCCTAAAATAAAGAATACTGCACTACTTTGTATCAAGCCCTCTTTTAAATTAAATGTTATGAACATTGAAACTGTACTCTATTCACCGTCATCTTACCTGGAGATTATATATATAAACGAAATGCTAAATCTCTAAGTGTGTGTGTGTGTGTGTGTGTTCCCGAGATACAACTTAAATGATACATAACAACCCAACCAATTTTGGAGAATATTATACCGTGAATCCCTGCCAAGTGCAGTGCCAAATTTTATGAAAAATTAGACAATGGCCGTTTTTTGTTTTTACAGCATTTTTAACATAAAATTCAGTATTTGCTTTAGATACACATTCTTATATCAATCTGCATGCATAAATAAACACTTGCATATTATATTACAACTATTGTGCGTGAAAAATAATAAACATTCATAATACATTATAACAACATTATTAAATTTAAATATGCATACCACAACATATCTTTATACAATTCACTATTAAGGTTCTGTTATTATTATTAATTCACTATTAAGGCTCTGTTATTATTATTAATTCACTATTAAGGCTCTGTTATTATTATTAATTCACTATTAAGGCTCTGTTATTATTATTAATTCACTATTAAGGCATTTTTTTTTTATAAGCAACTACTTGAAAGGTGAAGAGGCTATATGTGTCACATGTCTTGATAAATAAATAGATGCATGCTGGTTTGCTGCCATGACATATTTTAAAATAAATGCAAGTAACATGTATAATAAAATATACTTTTTGAAAAGGACTACACCTGCTTTAAGCTATTACTCCAAATTTTCACACAAATTTGTTAACTATGGACTTTAAATGCTACAATAAAAATTATTTTACCATCTTCAGTATTAATTATTAATTTTATATTCAAACTACATTTTACAGAAGAAATTTCTCCAAAGAAGTAAAGCCTACCTATTGATATCATAAAATAATTTATATATAAAAATACAAGCTACAGTATAAAAAATAAAAAAAACCAACAACACAGAGCAAAAGGGTGAGCTTCTTCAATAAAAAAAAAAAAGAAAAAAAAAAAAAAAGGTAGATTACAAAACAAAAATTACTTACAAAACCAAAAAAGAATTGTTAAAAGATAATGAATTTTACTGAAGAAAAATGTTTTCTTACTGGGTTTTTTTCTTTCTCTTTTTCTGTGAAAAACCATTTGATTTACCACGTTTTCTTGACCAATCTTGATGTTCATCACTATCCCAATCACTTTCTCGGTCATCTGATTCATTGAAATCATCATCATCATCGTAATCATCATCATCATCAATTTCACTAGATTCTAATTCTGATTTTGTATCACTTTTCTTTCCAAATACTGGTGATTTTCCATCACTGGCTTCATCACTTTCATCTGAGGAAAATAAAAAAAAAATGTAAAACACTGTCAAGAATGGATGGAAGAAGGAAAAAAAAACATTGAGAATTTAATCAGAACCCATATTGCTAAAGATTTTAAAAATAGCTAATCAATAAAACCTAGATAATGAAGATTTTCTGACAAGCATTTAAATGGATCATATCACAAATTATAAAAATTTTTTTGAACTGTCAAATTTACCTAAAAAAGTATTTTAAAATTATAGTTCTGTGAAAATAAATAGATACTTTAATTTACTTTGACAAAGCAAAATCCAAAACAAGGTTAAAGTTATAAAGCATTTGTTAAAAATTATGTTACCAATGGCTTGTGAGATAAGCATTTTACTGCTAGAAATATATTTTAATCATAAGCCTGTAAATCATAAAGACATCTCAGAATTTTGCTTCATCTTCCACATTCACTCATGCAACTGGAAACCTTTTCTAGCAGCAAATTTCCATAGTTTCAGATCCAGAATATCTTAATATCAAATAGAAGATAAAATGCAATTTTTTTTTTTTTTTTTACACCTAAATCTGGAGATCTTTAGCTTGGTTTTCTCTGTTCTTCTTTTTGAGATTTTTGAATAGAAAAAATAACTAACTAACCACAAAGTAAAAGACTGCAACAGATTCACGAAATTCTAAGATGCATGCTAAAATTTCACATACAATTGAACACATTGGTAATCCAAATTTTCACTTATAAAAATTGTTAAAAGTGCAATAGCATTGACTGGTGAGTGTGTGTGTGTGTGTATATATATATAATACACACAAGACTTGCTTCATAACAGGTATTTGCAAACTTCCCACAACAGCAGTGGTCAGTGTTCAAGCCAGCTAACAAAAAGATTTTGAATGCTGATTTTAGGCAACAAGACAATATTCATTTGGAAGATAGGTAACCATTTCAAAATTTACCTACATTGTAAATGTCAATATGCAAAAAAACAGACTTTGCACAAATGAAAATATTTTTCGCATATTTAGTCATTCAAATGAAAATTTCTCGTTGTATGATGAATTATGGTGAAAGAATTATTACAATGCCTGCAATAAACAGCGTTTTAAATGTTTTTTAGCCAAAATTAAAAAAAGAAAAAAAAAAGCTCTCATTCCGAGAGGAGGAAAGGGAGTAAATTTTAAATATTATTAGTTCAGAGTAGAAAGTACCTGAAGTGAAAACTTCTTTGTCATTTCAAGTTGTCTTTATTATGGTAACAATTTAGTAAGGAAAAAGTTTGTTTTTATTTTAAATCCTAGATATTTATTTACTGAAAGATTTTTGTTGATAATTTTTTTTCTCTTAAATCTCAAAATGCAAATCAACCTTTCATTTTTCAGACAGAAATAATTTTCTTTCGAATTTGCATAATTTAAAATTAACAGCTTATTAATTAAAAAATGAAAAGAAAATTTAGATCCTCTTCAATCACATCAGTATATTTTTAAAATAAAATTCACTTCATTAAGAATTAAAAGTTTGGCAGAGGCAAATATCAAACAAAAAAATACCAAGTTCACCATCACACACGAGAGTACAAATCAAAGTTACTTACTAATCACAATTAAAAAAATATTTATTTACAACAGTGACCCTTTCAGGATGTAGGTTATTAGGCCCTCCATAACTTCCTATCCTTTCTTGTGTAGCTCCAAGTTACGTTTTAATCGCGCCTGGCACAAAGTAAACAAATCAGCTCTTTGAATTTTTACACGGTCTTGATTTTTCAATAAATAGATGAGTTTTTTGGGGTTTTTTTTATTTTTATTTGTGCAACTGTTTGAAAAAATCCTATTTTTAATAATTAAAAAGAAACTACGACTCTTATTTCATGAGTTGCCTTTTTTTCCAATTTTCCCTTATAAAATATATAGAATTTGGCAGGTTTTAGGCCCTTAATATCAATTTTTATTCATATATGCGAAAAGAAAATAACCATTCTTCGATATATATGAAAAATGCAAAATAATTTATTTTAGTTTTATCAACCTGGAAATAAAATCTATTGTTTCAAAGTATGGTAAGTCGTATAAATTACGTTTTGGTAGAAATAATTGCTTTTTGTTTTAATTACGATTTCAAAAAGTAAACAAATGTAGTTTTGTTTGTTATCATTTAAAAACATTGCTAAACTTCTTTTTTGTTTAAGTGAAATAGTGTCAATCTAAAAATTAGACAAAATCGTTTGAGATCTCTCATAATGGCTTTGTTTTTAATGCTCAGTTTATTTTTCGACAAAATTAATCAAACAAAATATACGAACCAAAATAAAATCTTTAAAAGAATTGTCAGAGAATTAAAAAAAAAAAAGTTAAATGTGCTTTAGTGCAGACCTCAACACATGGTCAGGAAGGGAAACAGGTCGATTCAATTGAAACTAAAAACAAACACATGTTACAATTTATAAAAATCAATCAATATTTGACATTCTAGAGAAAGTGATATTGTTTCTATGTTGATGAGAAGAATATTTTTATATTCATCTCACACACACAAAAAAAAAAAAACAGAAAGAGAATTAATAATAGTTACTTTATAACTTTTTTAATAATAACAACGTCAATGGAGACGAAACTGAAATTAGAACAAAAACGACGAATAAAAAGATCTTTTCGCCATTCATCCTGACATTTTAAGCTCTTCTTTGCATACAACACAAATTTTCAAAAGAACAGACTGATCTCGCTTAGTCTGGCTTCCAGGTAGAAATTAAAAGGTTATAAAGTTAAAAAAAAAACATTTTTAAATAATTACCAAAAATTAAAAAGAGGAAATATGGTTTATTCCTTCAAGCCCAAACTACATCGCTAATTTTTTTTCAGCTAATTTTTACCTCATTTTCTCAATTAAAAAAATTTAAGAAAAGTGAAATTAGTTTTGGGGATTTTTTTTTTTTTTTTTTTTTTTTTTTTTTACTACACTATTTTTTTTTTTAATTCATATCTTTTTTCTTCCAAAGTAATACGTCTTGCTTTAAAAAGAAAATTACTGAAAAATACATAAACATTCCATTTTTTTAAATTTTATTTCAACAAATGTTTTAAAAATTAAAATCGATTTTATGCTGAAAAGGAAATAAATTTTTGAAAGAAAAAAAAAATATTTTTAAATGGCTGACTCTGTTCTTTAAAATCAAAATAATATTTAGTATTAATGTGAAAATATAAAAAAAATAAATCTCCAATGTACATCTAATCAACCAAAGACTGGTTTTCTTACTGTTAAAACTCAAGTTTTAAAATGATCACGTGACCAAACACACTTCCTTCCCCAATGCTTAAATGCAATTTCTATTGTGTTCATTATTTTTCATTCTTCTTAGGAAAATATTCTTTCTTCGGTCTCAAAGTTACATCGAAAAAGAATAAAAAGATTACATTAAAAAAAGTTTTAGTGGCCATAGGAGACATTATCATTTTTTAAAAATTATCAATTAATTCATTTTTCAAATTTTCTTTGCCAGAAGCTAGAGAAAGAAAAATGAAAAATAAAGTTAAAAATTCTTAAAGAAATTTCAAATTAGATTTTTAATCTGATGTACAGTAAAACAAAACGGGGGAAATCGTAGCAAAAGCGACAAAAAAGAGTGAAAGTGGAATTTAAGAATTAAAAACAGTGAGAAAACTAAAAGGATTTGGTAACTTTGGGTGATGGGAGATCGTAATTTTTCCATAGAAAAAGAAAAAAAATACAATCATTGTCTTACCAGAAACCTTCTTTTCTTCTTTGAAATATAAATTTTCATCGGCCGAATCATCTGAAGTACTCTCTTCGGCCTTTTCTTCATCCTTGGAAGATGTTTTTTCCCAATCTTCATTCTCTTCATCTTTGCCCGATGATATTTCGTCCGTTGATTTTGCTAAACTATCATTCTTAATTTCCTCTTCGTCATCCGACTGATGCTTTAGTTTTTCCTTATTCGTCCGAGAAAAACTATATTGTGATAACATTGTCTGTACCTTATTACTGGACATTGTATTTTTCAGTACAGTTAACTAACAGTAACACGGATTTATTTCAAATGAAAGATATCTCGTCGTTTATCAGGTATTTAAAAAAAATACCAGTGAATGAATAGTCGTAAATGTTGTTATAAATAATAAAAAGCAATTTTTGGTTCTTGTTTTCTTTCTTCAGGTATCAAAAATTTATCTTTTTTTGTTAAGCCACGTTTTCGAGTACGTATCGTGCGATTTGGTTGCTAGCAAAATGAAATACACGGTGAAATGTGAAACCGAAGGAAGTAAGAAAAAAATAGTATCCAACAGTACGTTAAATTTTTTAAACAATATGAAAAAACTTTTGCGGAAGATTTATATAACTAGCGCTGTGTAGAGTGCGCTAGAAAGAAGAAGAAACAATACTAATTCTTCTTTGTTGTTCTTTGCAAAAACTAACTTCTTGAGTGCCAAGTTTGACACAAGGACTTTTTTACTAAAGATTGGTCAATCTAGGAAAAGATAAGTGGGGGGGGAAGAATAAAGTAAACAGGGAAAGAAATAAAGAAGAAAAAGAAAAAAACTCTTCCGATATCATATCTATCAAAGAGGTTTACATCCCGCCTTTAAAGCCGTCATAGAAGTAAAAGGAGGGAGAGAAATAGAAGTCATGCACACAACGTGCCGCTATCATCAACCACCGGGTCAGACATTGAAAAAAAAAATTGAAGTCGCTATTAATCTAAGAGCATTTTAAACTATAGCAAAAGTTAAAGGCATTTCAAAATTGGTTTCTCGTATTATTTTTTCTCCTTAAATTATCTCCTTGCTCCGGAGTGAAGAGTATGGAAAGTAAAAAAAAAAAAAAAAACAAAACCTCGACCTCCTTGCTTGGAGCATTTCTATCTTCGCACAGTGAAGAGCGCTATCTTTGTATTCAGCCCATGTGTACGTGTATAGGGCCTTTTACATTCATTTAGCCTTGTCGTATTTGCTATCATGGGAGGGAACGCAAATACAATGTGTTCAACAACTGTTATGTGTTAGATTTGATGAATACGGCTTTTTTTTTTAATTCTATATAAGCTTAAAAAAGAATAATATAAATGATTATTTATATAGTGTTTAAGGTGTTAACCTGCCACTGAATAATGCATAAATTTTTAAAAAATTACTTCTTTTGCAAACTTTGATTAAACAAATTTGAATTTTTTTTTCCATAGGTTGAAAAGTGAATGGATAATCTTCCTGATTAGTGAATAGGAATTATAATTATTAATGAAAAACATTTCTTTATTAATCCAATTCAGAGTCATTATTCAAAAAAATAAACTCTTGGCTGTGCTTTCAATTTATTTTGTTATATACTTTAAGAAGTAAAGTTCTGTTGTCAAGATATCAACAAGCTAAATGTATTTCATTAAGAAAATGATCATTTCATTACATTACATTACATTCACACACACACACACACACACACACACACACACATATATATATATATATATATATACACACATAAACAAATATATATGAATAAAGACAAACTTATCTATGTAGTGAAACCAAATGTAAAATATGAAAATAAAATATATAAACAAAAAAAAAGAATTCAAAATAAAATAAGACATTGGTTTTCCTTTAAAACCCATCTTTCTTACTGTCTGTCTTTTTTTTTTAATCAGTTTCACCCCATGCAAAACAGTAAAGCCATTAGACACAAAAGGGTTACTGGGTGTGGACAAATTAGGAACAGAAACATTATTGAGTAGGAAGAGAAAAGAGGACAGTAGATAGCGACTGACACTGTATTTAAATTTTTGCTGACTAAAGTTGGCTGGAAAGCATGAAGCCGGAAGGGCGTTCCACAAGTGAGAAGTGTAAAAAAAGAAACTGTTAGCATAGAATTTACAGCCACATCTAGCCAGCTCAACTGTAGATTGATGAGATCTCGACACCAGTCTAGTAATGCACTTAAATTCAAAAAGTCTAGCTACCATAGGATATATATTTCTCTGTCAACTAATGAAAGGACAACCCTCAAATAAAAAAGAGGAAGAAAGGAAAGACTGTATATGGCAGCAAATCGCAGAATTTTGCTGGTCCATGATTCTAACCATTGTGCCTAAAAAGCTACCAAAGTAAGAGAGGCTCTACATATAACTTCTGCTATGAAAAAAATGAAAAACAAAGCTACACTGGAAAATAAAAGAATTTTTGCCAATCAAAAAAAGACAGAAAGACTTTTAATGTTATCCAAAACTAAGGTCCACACCAATAGTCTGGAGCCCTGTCAAATGGGATATAAATGGACAGGCCAGAGACAGAAAGAGAGAAGGAACCACCAGAGAAATCTGCCAGGCATGTCACATAAAGAAGTTAAGCAGTCATCTGCTTAAGACATTTTCCACCCTTCTGAGGACCAAGAAAACACAGCAGATTGGTGCCAACCTATATTTCCAAGATGACAACTACTACCACGGTCTGACTTCTAAACTATCAACTACCAAGCCAAAACAGACTTTCTCCTAACTGCTATAAAGATCTGACTTATAAACAAACTTTCACTACCCAAATTACAAAGGACTTGCACCAATTGAAGTCAAATAAATAAATACATATTATCTGTTTATGCCTTTAATTCTGTTTGTCTATTTCCAAAATTTCCAATAAATATTGTCAAGAAACTCTGGCACCTTTACCACATCTTAGCTAACACATTTCATCCTTGATGGACTCTATCAAGGTAAAAGTCCATCAGAAGGTGAAACATGTCAGTTAAGATAAGTTTTCCTTTTGACTTTGTTCATATTGTCCTTTTACAGATATCTTTTTAGTTATTATATCTGAAATTTCACACACACACATTCATATTATATATATATATATATATATATATATATATATATATATCCTAAAATGAACTCACAAAGAACAGGAAAAGGAAGTGTTCCTGAAAGTGAAAACAACCCCTAACTAAACAGGAAATGTATCATTGTTTTCATAGAAAAGGTTAACCCACTTTTGCCAATAGCAATTACAAGAATATCTTGGGAGAATAAAAAGAAGCAAGAAATATCTGTGTTTATTGGTTTTTTGTTGTTTTTTTTTTTTTTTTGGTGGGGGGTCTTGGAGTTTCCATAACTGTTAGAGCCATTTCTAGTATAAATAATACTATTTTTCTAATAAATTGACACAAACAAAAAAAAACTACTTCTAATAAATAGTAAATACTTTCTTTGAGTTAAACTCATAAAAGAAACAAGATTTAAGAAATTATTAAAATACATTCATTATCTGTCTATATTTCTGAGATAAGGTATTATGTACACTATTTACATTATTCAGACTATTGTCCTCATCTTTGTCAGCATATTTATTACAACGTTTCAGCCATTGTACGCTCCGGCCTGGTGGTTGGAATGTCGAACTGAACCCTTTATTTCACTCACTGTGGTAGACTGTTCTAGTTTCACGTGCCATGTTTAATGGATGTCAGTTATCAGTTATGTCCTGTTAATTTCCCTTTCCAAGTTCTCCACTGCCTTAACCGGGTATTGAACTCACACTCTTTGGGTCCTGTCACTGGATCTAACTAACCTCTTTCTCCACTATGCCATGTGTGTGATAAATATGGCAACAAAGATGAGGACAATAGTCCGAATAATGTAAATAATGTACATAATACCTCATCTCAGAAATATAGACAGATACTGAAAGGCCGAAACATTGTAATAAATATGGCGACAAAGATGAGGACAATAGTCTGAATAATGTAAATAGTGTACATTCATTATCCTTGAATTGCTGATAGAAAAAAAGAATGAAAAATATTGACAGGCATAGATCAACATAAAGCACTGATCAGAATCATCATTTTGAAAAGGCATCATCAGTGAAAGTTGCAATTCAGTGATTTTCAGGGGTTAATTCTGATAACATTTTCATGACTCCACTCATTGGCATATTTGAAGGGGGCTAAGAGGCAGTCTATCCTCGGCAGCAATTATTTGGGGGAAGCATTTAGGCAAATTATAAAAATGATGTAGCATGCAAAATTAGTTGTGCCTTTTATCCCCTTTCATTTCACTTGTGCCATTTTACCTCACATTCCACTTGTACAATTTTTCCTTATTCCACTTCTGCCATTTTCCCTCTCATTCCACTTGTGCCATTTTCTCCTTTCATTCTACTTGTGCCATTTTTCCCTCTCATTCCACTTGTGCCATTTTCCCCTAATTCTACTTGTGCCATTTTTTCCTCTCATTCCACTTGTGCCATTTTTCCCTTTCATTCCACTTGTGCCATTTTCTCCTTTCATTTTACTTGTGCCATTTTTCCCTCTCATTCCACTTGTGCCATTTTCCCCTAATTCTACTTATGCCATTTTTTCCTCTCATTCCACTTGTGCCCTTTTCTCCTATCATTCCACTTGTGCCATTTTCCCCTAATTCTATTTACGCCATTTTTTCTTCTCATTCCACTTGTGCCCTTTTCTCCTCTCATTCCACTTGTGCCATTTTTCCCTTTCATTCCACTTGTGCCATTTTCCCTAATTCTACTTACACTATTTTTTCCTCTCATTCCACTTGTGCCCTTTTCTCCTCTAATTCTACTTGTGCCATTTTCCATCTCATTCCAATTGTGCCATTTTCTCCTTTTATCGCCACTTGTACCATTTTTCTCTCTTATTGCACTTGTAGGGTAGAGGAGAGATCAGCTGCCAAGGCACTTGTCATCACGATATTTGGAGTTACATCTATACACTGGCATCATTTGCATCATTATATAATTTACTAAGGATCTTAGATTGTTTTTGGCCAGAATGTTAGTATGAAATAGAAAAGGTAGAACTGAGAAGAAAGAACCATGGAGGACACCAGCATTGAATCTCATATGTCTCAGAAGCCATTGACGACAACCTTCATAAACCTACCTGACAGGAAAGACTGAGAGGAACCTTCCAGCTGGCCAGTTTATATAGCAATCTCCTGTACCACACTTTATCAAAG